TATTGTTTAATTAATTCAGCTCCTTATTTATATCTTATTTGACACCATTTTTCTTTAGTATCTCATCTACTTCTATATCTTTGTATTCAATTACTGATTAGTTAGGAACCTATCATGGAATATTTTGCAATGTTTTTTCATATTTATGTTGATGTTGTTGCATCTATTGAATGGACTTCCACTTTTGTGTGAGGATCTTTTTAATGTTCACCCTTCTCTTGAGGATTTGATTTCAAGCATCACTCACAAAGGAGAAAACAAACCACAGTAATGACAATGCCATGAAGACAAACTCAACATTGGCACACAGTAAAAACCAATTAAAAGCAATAATGATACCACCATTAACAGCAGAAATTAGCAATAACAATATCAAGTGAACTAAAAAGACATAAACATGAAGGTTAAAAATAATAATAATAAGGTAATAAAAATGGAATGGGCAGAGAAAGAATAAATTGGAAAAGGTAAAATTTACAAGGAAACGAGAATAAAGATGAAGAGAAAACAAGTGAAATAAAAAATCCAGTTAAAGAATGAAAAAGAAAATTATGCTAAAGTAATAGGACAACAAGAAGAAGAAAAAGAAGGCGCTCTCATCATGCACTAAATTAAAACAAAATGGATCAAAGATCTAAACATTAAAACAGAAACACTTTGTGTGCTGGACGTTAAAACAGGTAAAACTCTTCAGGACACAGGCACAGGCAAAGAAGTTCTTCCTGTCAAGAACTCCAGGTGCAGAAGAAATAATACCAAAATCAACCGATGGGATCACATCAAATTAAAAAGCTTTTGTACAGCAAAGGAATTTGTCAAGTGAAGAGACAACCTATAGGATGGGGAAAATTTTGGCCAGCTAATCTTCACAGAAGACTAATATCTGGAATACATAGTGAACCAACCACAAAATGGGCATTTGAAATGAATAAATGCATCTCAGACACAAAGTACAAATAGCTTATACTTAAAAATGTTTAGCATTGTTGGTCATTTGATATAAACAAATTTAGAAAATACTATGATTCCAGCTTACTCTAGAAAAAAATGATTATTTTAAAAATTAAATAATAACAAATGGTGGAGAGCTTGTGAGGAAAAAGGAACTCTTTTTCATTGTTGGTGGGTGTAAACTGGTACAACCACTATGGAGATTCCTCAAAAACATTAAAAATAGAAATTCCATTTGACCTGGCTATTCCAGTTGTATCTTTCTGAAATAGTTAAAGATATATTACAGTAATACATGCATATGTATGCTGATAGTAGCACAATTCATAATATCTTTGGAGCTGTCTGTATGTCCATCCACAGATGAATGGGTAAAGAAATATGGCATTTATACACAATGGAATACTATACTGCTATAAAGGACACACTTGAGTCATTTGAAGGAAAACAGATGGGCCTTAAGACCATAATGCTAAGTGAAATCAGACATACAAGCTTAAATATTGCATAGTTTGTCTTATATGAGAAACTCAATATATAAATAAAGTGTAACATAAAAGGCAATAAAAACAGATTTATTGAAATCTAACATAGCCAATGTATCAAAAAGTGTACCTTGATTTAGTATAACTGTCTTGTATAGTTTTTGGTCTGTTAGCCTGGATGTTAATCTATATTTATGTAATTAACTTGATAAAGACCTGAAGAATAAATAAATAAATCTGATGGGGGTAGAAAAAATAGAAGGAAAAAAAACATAAAGAAAAAAAAAATTCACACACACAAAAGACAGAGTCCACAACTATGCCTCCACACTGAGGTATTTAGATGGGTAGACTCTTTCCAGAACCTGTAATATTTAAATTGGCCAAGTATGGGAGACAGACAGGGATTTGTTACTGGGGACTATTGTGGTTCCAAATCCACTTAACAGGCTGCTGTTGTGTGAATGCTCAGTTCTGCCCTGCATTTCTTGCTCAGCAGGCCCAGCCAGTGGTATTTTCTTCTTGGATATATTCACTCTAGAGAGGTTTAGTGTTTGTTTTAGTGAATGTCTGTGTGCCTTGAGCCACTGCTGTCTCCAACTAGTTTTGCAGCCACCGACTAGTCAGTTGCCCACCTTGCTCTGGAAGCTCCTCTATCCCAGTACCCTCTTAATGAAATTCCTGGCCCCACCACTCTGAGATAGGCTGAGGGTTGCAATGGATTTCTCCAAAGCTCACCTGCCATACAAAGTAAATACAGTGAATTTACTGCTTCCACTAACTGTGGGCTGTTCCTGGTTAAAGCTGCTGATCCACTGTTTAGCACTGGGGCTGCCAGCCTTCTCCCAATGCTGCAGTGTTGAGGCAGAATTCCTTTTTCTCCAGCAAACTGATTCACTCATAAGACCTTCAACTGATGGTATGAGACTGACCCACTCACATGATCAAAGGTCATGATCTTAAAGTCTACTGACTATAGATATTAACCACATCTATACCTTACCAATACCTTCACAGAAATACCTATAATTAGTTTTTATTGCTTGGGAACTTTAACCCAGACAAATTGGCACATGAAACAACACCACAAGTTTTACTGTACTTATTAGAATAAGCTTTGCCCAACATCACACATCCAGGAAGTCCTACTCCCCTCTTGTGCATGGGACATTATACTGAGACCACTTTAGGGCCTAGAAAGAACAGCAGCTTCTTTGTGTGTATGAAACACAAAGGCCAAATGACGATTTTAACATCGTTAGGTGCAGAGATTTACTGGCCTTACAGGATCTTCGTTCTTCTGAGTCATCATCAAAAAGAAAGTAATGTTTAAATAATTCTGAAAAGGCAGATTGCCCTCACAGTGGTAGAAGTTCCCAAACAGACTTTAAAAAGTAAGTCAAATATTGAAAAAAGCAATTAAAGATAGAACTAAAAAGCAAAAGTTAAATCCATTAAACCACTAAAGACTTCCAGGAGCATGACACAAAGTTCAACACCATAAAAGAATCTAGAGCACACGATAATAAAGTCTGTAAGGAATTAAAAAGATCAGATCTTTACATAAAAGAATAATCTGGAAACTGATTAAAAATAATTTCCTTAAATACTAGGAAGCAATCTTCAAGCACTAAGGGTGGCTTTTTAATAGGAAAAAGTTTTTCGTTAAAAAACTAGAATTTATATACTATCTACTTTGTATGAAGCTGTGAGAAAATCACACATTAAATAAGAGTACCAAAAAGGTAGAATTCAATGGGTCAAACAACATTTTAAAAGATCAAAAACTATTTGACTGCATGAAAGCTAAATTTGGCTTTGAGTTTCCTGGCCACCAAACCAAAAACAAAACACAAGAACCTCACCCACCGGCTTTAGAGCACAGATTCATGTGTTATTATCTCCAAAGGGGTAAAAATTGTTTCTTAAGTGGTAAAAAGTCTTGGTTTTTGATACAAAAGCATAACTATACATAAGGTACATAAAATACATATATAGTATATATCTGTTTTACTAAAATGGTGGGAAAAGCATCTAAAAAGACTCCTTGAAAGAAAATTGTGAAGAAAAGGTAAAGAAAGACTTCCTGAGAATAGGCACATGTCTGTATCGAGAGGCTAATCTTCCCATGACTACTCTATTCTGGAAGGCCTGGGCCCAGAAAACACTGAATAATAGTAGACAGCTTCTTTTCCAGTAAGTTTTGCTGTCCCCTAAAGGTCCTGTGTTAGAGGTCTGATCCTCAACCACTGATGCCATCAGGAGGTGGTGGAACCCTAAGAGGCAGGGCCTGTGCTTACCTGGGGGTGCTCTCCTCAAGCTCCTGGCCAGCATGCACTCTGCTATCACAGGTCCAGTCATAGATCTAAACCTACACCACTGGAAGTCTAAGTAACTCTTTCCTCTTTTTAAAATTATTTATTTCAGGCCTTTTTTACAGTAATGGAAAGCTGACTCACACAGTGAGGAAATTTCATTTGTGCATAGTTTGAGAAGTTCCTTAGTTTATAAATATATCAATATATTTATACTTCATATTAGGAAATTTCTGCAACATGTAGATTGTCTTCTATTTTTCCTCCACAATATTTTCTGCATTCTGTCCTTCCTAGTTCTCAAGTCAAACGGGGTACACAGCCATGGGGATGGCATGGGGGTATGGATTCAAGTCCAGGTTGTGTCATACGAGAGAAATCTGGAGAGATTGGAAAGAACTACACAAAATATCCATCTACCATTTCTGTAGGGTCAGGAATTATTCTTAAGTGCTGGCAGCTGAAAACTGACCCAGTCTACTTGGACTCATACTCTCCCAGACTGGTATGCCAATGTGATATTTTAGGATTTCTAACATACTGGACTGAATATGTATCTTGGTGACAAAGGATGCATTTGTAAAGAAGAAAATTTCTTATTTGAAAGTGTCTGCAGTTTCTTGGAGTGGACTGGATATTTACAAGTATAAGATAACTGTTGCATTTAAGTTGTAAGTTTTGGTACAGTAAAGTGGAACAACTATTGAGAAAAAAAGATACCCTGAGCTTCCTAGGCATGGCAGCAGCTTCCTCTGAGCCTTGTTAGGTGGGTAGAGACCCACACTCTTGTAGCTTAAAAGTACTTGGAAGGAATGGAGGTGAAAGTCCTTGTTTGGAGCTGAGGGTCCCACTGTCTGGTTTCTTGTCCTTTAAGCTTCAGTTTCAGCTTTTTCCTTTGCAGGTCTTGGAAAAAGCTCTCAAGTGTCTAGGCTTCTCAACTCAAACCACATATCCTACAGACCAGAGCCCTGTGTCAAAAACCGCAGCTACAAAAGCAGGTGAGGCCTAGATAATGTGCAGCCTGAGAGTCCCTGGCATCGAAGAGAACTTCACAGACTCTGCTCTGCCTTTCTCTACGAGGACGGGCAGACATACATACAGACTTGGACGCTTTCTACCAGGAATGCAAACCAGACACAACTAAATAGGTAAAATTATATTAGAGAAAGATAGTTTTTTGTCTTTAAAAAAGCAGACAGCAGCATTTGTATTTTACATAAAAAAATAAAAGCAAAACAGACCCTGTTGATTCTTTTAAAGTAGCATTTTATTTTTCATTGTCAATGATTAACTTTCAAGTCTACTAGAACAGTATCATGGTCATAGTGAATAAAAAAATATAGATGACAGAATAAAAATATTAGGTTATACAAAGTTAGTTTTAAAACATTATTATCCACCAACATTTTCAGGAGTTTGGAGTTCTGAAAAGCCAATTTAATTTGTGGTGCCTTTTTGTGGTTGCTGTTTTTACATTTCCAGCAGTTAAAAATTAAGAACACTTACTGAGAATCATTTGCAGATGCCTATTACAATAGACACACAGACCACAAAAATTAAACAAGTTCTAAGAACCATCATATATACAAACTTCTGTACACAATGAGGACACAGAGAAATCATCCAATTAAAACCATCGTTTGTGGTATACATACTCTTTTGCAAAAAAGAATGAAAGTTTATTTTGCTATACTCATATTTATTTTTCCATTTGATCCAGTATTCATAATGGTATTTCTACTCCATAAATTAGTAACTGTTCAGTAGCTGAGAAATATCCTATTTTAAATTATACCAAGAGAAAAATCAGGATCTTCCCTGAAGGGTTGAACTTAGTTGCCGGATACAGGTTGAAGACATGCTCAACCAACATAAAATCACCACAGATGCAGAAAGGAGTCTAATCAAACATCCCAGGAGAGTGAACTCGGGCTGCCGAGGGAACACAAGGATTCTAATACAGCCTACTATGCAGCTTCTCATCAGGGATGGTCTTGCTTTTCGTGCTTAGCTAACCTCAGATCGGCTGAACTGCTTGCTAATATGAGTCATTTGGCACATACAAGGAACGATGTTTGGGCAAGACTGCGGCTGTCTCGGAGAATGACGCACTTGGAAACCCCCAACTCTGAAAAACACAATGGTAAATGTCCTGGTCCCATACCCTCCATGCCCCACAGTGTGATGGGCTAGAAACAGCTCCTCTTAGGGAAAAGCCATTGAATTAAAGGTCAGACTTTGCAGGCCCAATGAGGTAAACATCAGACATGGAAGAATTCGAGGAGGGGTGGAAAGACGACAGGTTGCTCTTTCGAGACTCTCGCTGCTTTCACTGGACAATCCCGGAGTCCACAGAGGTCTGCTTTCGGGTTGTCTTTGGAGGGGGAGGAGGTGGAGTTTTGCTGGGCAGTGGAGGCGGCAGTTGCTGGAAAACATGAATATGCAGAAGACATCAAATTACAGATGTCCCTTCAGGATAGCACCAGTCTCCACATGGTGACCCCGTGGCGCAGTGCCATGGTTTCACCTGGCACAGTGCATCTGCATTCCACGCACTGTGGCCGCCCCTCTATGTGACAGGGCCTCCCCATCCTGCTTGCCTCAGCACTGGCAGGTCTGCTGCTAGGTTGCTTGGCAGCCACAGGCCTTTCTGATGTCTCTGAGTGCCTTTCACAAGGGCTACATAGGCTCCAAGAAGCACAACTACCTCTTTGCTGTTTTAAACTCAGTGCTATTAAACTAGCAATTGACCTACTGTGTGAGGACAGGCATGTCCATGGAGATGTTCTCCAGGGTCAGCCGAGAGTCCATTTCTTGCTTTCTGAACAAAAGTCAAGTCAGCAAGCTTTTAGAGGAGAGGGCCAGAAAGTAAATATTTTCAGTTTTGTGAGGCTTAAAATCTCTTCTGAGGCTGGATAGCAGCCAGAGATAGTATGTAAAGGAATGGCTGTAGCTGCATTCCAAGAAAACTTTACAAAAATAGGTGGCTGGTTGGATGTGGCCTATAGGCCACAGATTGCCTCAGACTCCCAAGAAGGAATTATAGTAAGTGAAGAAATGAACAGATGAGAAAGGCAGGAGCACGCCACAGGGAGGAGTCAGGGTGGAATACCAAACCACCACCAACTAACTCATGGACAAGCGTGGATTTCTGCAGCCTCTTAGTGTAGGTGCACATTTAGCTGAATGTGAGAAAAGTAGTTTTCAAGGACAGAACAGTGACACAGTCATCTCTCACTCACTGCCCCAACTTCCTTCTGATTCATAAACAAGTAAATAGAGTGCCAAAATGACCTAGTGCTGAACACACAGAGGAAAACAGAATAAATGGATAAAATGATATCTAGATATTGTAAAAAGTAAAGTCAAGTTACAGATATATAAATCTTTTTTAAGCTTGGTAAGAACAGTTAATAGAAACAGCTATTTTGAGGTCTGATAACATGAGTTTACATGACTGATAGTGGGTCAGACCAATACAATCTGATACAAAATGATGCTAGAGATGCCCTTTGTGCCAGATATAGGTACATGGGGTTTCACCAGTAAGTACACTGATAGCCACTGCTAAGAAAATCTCAGCTTAAAATGGCAGCAACCCGAGATAGAGTTGCCTACAAATCTGAAGCCGATCAATGGGAGTGACAGGTGGCTATTGATCACCGCCCCTCAAGACAGGAGAATGATCATTATCCTAAGTGGTTCCCGGGGCCTCTGCAATGGGAGACATCCTAGGAAACACAATTGTTAATTATGACATGCTAACCACCAGACTGTCACCTGAACATTTTTTCACACTGCAAATAAATTAAATAAGAAATGAATAGCAAAGGATTGGGCAGTTAACCTAACTGAAGTCACACCCCTTTTATAAATGGAGCCAAAGCTCATGCGTATGAGTTTTTTAATCAACTACATGTGGCATGAGTAACTTAGAGTGATGTATTTGAGAAATGTCACCCCTGAGTTTATCTGTACCAACAATGAAACTGGCACTGATTCCAAGTTCAGAACTTACAGGGTAGAGAGACCCAGGGGACATTTTTGCTTCTCCTTTTGTGATGACATACACATGGTTACAAGTGCCCAGGAAGCTCAGGTTTACATTTTCATGACTCCAGAACCGTTCTTGCCCCCATAAAGCCCTCTTCATCCAGAGCTAGTTCTGTACTATGGTATCTCTAGAGACAGCATCTAGTTAAATAACACTTTGGCTTAATAAAAGCTACCTGTCCCTTTAATACCAGAGGTTTTTAGTTTTCTTACACAGAAGAAAGTGTCAAATGCACACTATTAATAAATACCCTCTCTCCTCCATGTCTTTCACAAGAGAGATTTAAAACTTTGGAAAGCACTGAGTCAAAAAGAAAAAGAAATAGCTTGAACAATTTATAATGCTTATTAAGAGAGAAACACACACACACATCATGATAGCCATCTAACAATATCATATCCTTAATGTCCTACACAAGTGCTGTGGCCATATAATTACTTTATGGAGCTTAACTAGCAAAACATACGACCAACTGCAGAAACATGAATAAGGTATTTATGCTCATTTAGTTTTATAAAGCTGTGACTATCTTAGTCAGAGAGGTGGGCCTAGAAGTGCACATTCCAGGGGCTATTATGTAAACACACCACCCCTCTTCCCCAAACTGGCCTCTGCATGTGCTGCACCCTAAACCATGTATTGAGGAAGTGGGAGCTCAGGGATAGGCAGGACAGCATCGAGGCAATCCAGGAACACAGTGTGATGGAGCTGAAAAGGATGCTTCTAAAATTGGCACCTGGTAGCAGAGCCCTGGTTTAAACAGGATTAACACTTGTCACTAATGTTTGCATTACTGGACAGCTCCTGAGGACACCTGGCAGGAGCAGTATCAGACAGGATTACTGACTACAACAGAATGTGCAAGGAGTGCTCCCCTGGGGATGGTGCTGAAGAGGGGTTTGGCCAGCTGCTCACACTTAGAAAGGTCACTATTACTGGCCAGCACCTCAAACCAAAAGGGTAGGAGGTCTCAGGCTCAGTTAGGTAAAGCTGTGCCCACAGGCTACCAGCAAGAGTGTGATGTCAGCCAGAGGAGCTGCTGGAACAAGAGCTGCTTCAGGGATGTAAGTGCCAGGAGGAGTCACCTCCCCTGTGGTGCAACATCACCAACACTTAACCCAGTCCGACAGATGTCTTGGTGGGAAAGCTACTTCTCAAAATCAGAATCCCACAGTTGCGTCTCCACTGGAATGACCTCTGAAGCCATGCCAGTCATTTGGAACGTCTCCTTTTCTTGTCCTTGTTCCAAGCACGATTTTGAGATGAGGGTTTTCACTGCAGTGAGGATGACACAGAACCACAGGACACACATACTGGAGTCCTTTCTGCTTTGACTTCCTCTCTCAAAATCAAATCTAGAACCATCTTATAATTTTTCTTTTTAACCGATGGTAAACCTGTTAACCACTGAAACAGGTGACTAACATGTTGTCAAAGTCCCCCCGCTACTGATCTACACTTACCCTCTGGTGTGGAGGAGGCGGAGGGGGTGTTGGTGAGCCGATCAGGTCCTGGTTTTCCATCAGATTCCCATAGTCTGCCATGCTGCCCTTGAGAGGCAGTGGGGGCGGGACGTCGGCCACATCCATCCCTGTCATGCCATTCAGCTCCAAACCTGGAAAGTCAGGATCTATTTAAAATCTGCTCCACACACTCAGGGAACCCAATGGCTCACAGGGTTGCTCTTTGTTTTCTCCTCACTCCTGGAGAAGCACTTTATACCGCATCATCACTTACCAGCAGAGCAGAGGCCATGAGGGGTAAAGAATGGAAAGGGTAACATTCTCTCCAAACGGAACGTTCTACAAAGGGAATAAAAAGTACCACGAGACACCTAAAACCAGAGCATCAATCCACTACAAAATGCTGATGTCATTCTGGCCTTTCTTGACCCCCTCTTCATTGGTGGCATCTACACAGCTGGCATCACAAGGACTGGCTGTGGCTGCTGCTTTCAAATCGTGCCAGGGCTCTGTTGTCAGCCTGCCATAGCTACTACCTAAAGTGGTTCGGCAAGCAGTCGAATGAGGCCGCACACAGTCAGCCTCCGACTCTTCACCTCTCTCACCAGGAAAACTCACAAATGTGTGGAACAAAGGTATCAGCAGCTGCAGTCACTGTTGCTTTATGTAAGCTGACGCAAAGGACCCTTGATTGCAAAAGTAAACTGGAAAATGGCCATTGTCAAAGGAGGAATAATCTGCGGCAGAGTATTTTCACACAACCCTTGTTGAGGCTCTTGCAAATAATTTGTTCTCTTTCACATCAAAGAGAGAAAAATTGATATGTTTACTGATGTGTATCTTTTGGAGTTTTCAGCAGTGATTCATTGGCTGAGAAATCCTTCTTTAAGAAAACACTTCCCAGGTTGGAAGCTGTGCCACAGAACTGGGGAGGGCACGAAGACTGGGAGAGTGTCCTCAGCAGTGGTGAATTTTATTGTGACAAAACAGACATGACATAATATTTGCTGTCTTAGCCCATCTTTAATGTACAATGTAATTGTACATTACATTAGCCTGTACATTGAGTGGCACTGACTACAGTGACAATACTGTGCAATCCTCACTACTGTCTATTTCCAAGGTTCATCATTCCACACAGGAATCTTACACCCATTAAGCAACAATGCCCCATCTTGCACTCCCTCCAGCTCCTGGTTACCTCCATCTTCTCTGCCTTCTTGAGTCTGCTTAATCTAGATAATGCAAATCATGACACATATACTTTTGAGAATGGCTTATTTCACTAAACTTCGTGATTTTCAAGTTCATCCATGTTGCAGCATGTGTCAGGACTTCATCCCTTTATATGGCTGCCTACGGCATGGACATTTTTTGGATACAGAGTCATTGATATGTTCAACTTTTGATGGACATTGGGTTATTTCTGCTTTTGGGCCATTATGAATAGTGATGCTGATGAACATTCACAAGCAAATACTTGTTTAAGCTCTTGTTTTCAAGTCTTTGGAATAAAGACCCAGGGATAGAATTGCTGGGCCATATGGTAATCCCACATTTAAGACCTTGGAGCAGCAACTATTTTGTGTAATTGCTGTAGTGGTACCTGGTTTAAATATTTTAAAGAAATGTAAAAGATATTTTTAGAAAAAGATCACTCGGCAATAAAAGAAGTAGAGATGTGCCATTCAGAGGCCACATTTTCTCTAGTGTCCACACTTGCAGCCAAGACACGTTACCCATTGTGTGTTTCCAGAATCATCGCTGCTGCCCTTTCAGTAAGAAAATCAAGTACAGAGGACATTCGTCTGGTGCCTTGCACAATCCACCCCATGAGGCACATGCTTTCTTGTCTTGGGACTCTTTTCTGGGCACAGGATGGAGTGGGCCCCTCTGTTTTGCTGTGTCCCTCACTCCCTCCCATATTTTCTTGCCAGGAGTCTTCCTCTCTGATAGGTTTGAATTTAGAGGTGAAAATCTGGTTACCACTTACAGTGGGTTGGACAGTATCCCTACAAAATGTGGACCTCGAAGGTCCACCCAGAGAAAGACCCTCCAAATGTGAATTTACTTAGAAATACAGTCTTTGAAGATGCAATTAGTTTCTCAAAATGATATTATCCTGGATTTATGGTAGGTCCCGTATCCTATTACAGGTGTCCTTATAAGGAGAGTAGACACAAGGAAGCCACATGAAGATGGAGGCACAGACCATAGTGACTTGGCAATAAGCTCAGGAATACTAAGTATCACTGGAAGCCACTAGAAGCTGGGAGAGATGCATGCATCACACTCCTCCTCAAAGCCTCCAGAAGGAACCAATCTGCCAACTCCTTGCAGACCTTTGGCCACCAGAACTATGGGAATACATTTCACTAAGCCAGTAAGTTTGTGGTGCTTTGCTATGGCAACTCTAGAAATCAGGCAAAACCAGAGAAGAAGGGGTTCTCCATTGTGTGTTCTTTCTAGACGTGAATGCCCAAGGCCTTCCGATCCCTTGATGGCTCATGATGAGAAAAATGGGGCTACCTATGTGGCTGTCAAGCCCCTTCCAAGGCAGGGATTGCTGCCGTGCCTGGAAGAGACACCACACACTCTGTTGACTCAGCTCTGATGCTTATGTCTTGGCTGATTTGCTTAAGTCCAGATTCTCCACCCTGGTCACAGGGACTTCGCCCCATATCAAGGGTTTGTCCCAACTCCTGAACTGCTGTCAGGAGGGGGAGATCCTCAGTGTTGCACCACTGATCAAGGGAACACCACAGAACAATGCCACAGACTCCAAGGTAGGAAGGGCCCCACTTACTTGACTGAACACTGAAGCTGAGTTTGGCTCTGGGTGTGACTGGAGGAGGCGTCTGCTGGGAGGATGGTGATGCTGGGGACACAGAGAAGCGTCTTTCACTTCCAATGACATTGATCACCTGGCTCTTTGGTCTCTGCGGCCTCAAAGGACTTATCTGTATTAGAGGAAGAGAGAGAGCATAGTTAAGGTGTGTTAAGTTCTAAGTTGTGACTCCTCCAAAATTCCTGTGATGAATCCCTCCATCTTGAGTATTTCATAATATATATTTGGAAATAGGGGCTTTGTCAACTATCTAGTCGGGGTGATGTCATTAGGGCAGACCACAAACCAATCAGACTGGCGTACTTATAAAGGAGTGAAGTCTCTACACAGATGTGTACACAGGGAGAATGGCCTATGAAAATGAAGGCAGGGTGATGCTTCTACAAGTCAAAGAACAGCAAGACTGCCACTCATCACTATAAGCTAGGAGGTGGGATATGAAACAGATTCTCCCTTCCACCACTGTGGACACCTCGATCTTGAACCGCTAGTCCCAGAAGAGAGAGTAAAAGTCAGCCGCCACATGTGTGTGATGTGTGGTACTTTGTTAAAGCAGCCGGATCACACTAACACAGGGTCTCACGCTAACCTGTCCATTCAGCCTGGGGATGGATGGCACTTCACAGCCTTTGGGAACCTAATATAAAAGTGGCAGAGCTGTAGGAAACCATTCTGAAGCCAGAAAACACATCCACATCAGCCCCCAAAGGGCTGTGAGTGGAGTAACATTTAGAAACTTCCTGCTGGGTTTTTGTTTTTTCTTTTTCACTGTATCATTTCTGGACAGGAATTCTTTTTCTCTGCCCTTCAGGTCTCTTGACTTTTAGATGCACTTGACCTTTTCCCACCTGAGCCCTTTCCCTTTGTTTGTTATATGAGTAAATTTTATTTATATATTTCTTGCAATTTGGTCTCAGTTCATTAGGCCTCAGAGAACGTCAGCAATTACAGAATACTCTGAGGTAGGAGTAATCAGAAGTTATTCACTCTGACAAAAAGCAGGAGTGAAGACTGTCCTCCTGGGCAAGGGCAGGCAGGTGGCAGCTCTGAGTTGGTGCTGCAGCCTGCGTAGGGGCCTTGGCGTAGGGGGAGTGGGTAAGCATCCACCCCAGAAGATTCCTACAAAGCCAGTGCTCACCTGGGTGTTACTTAGGTAATGAGTGACCCAGGGCCTCAGCCAAAAGCCCCTTTAGAAGCACCCTGCTGATGAAGGCCGACACCCAATGGCCACCCATTTGTTGTACAGCATGGTGAGTCCTGAGAGCCTCACTGCTGGAGAAGGTCTAGAGATGCCTGGCTGCATGACAGGCTCTCTCAGGATGGCTGTTCATGTGGGCTGATGACAGGGATATAGGGACTGTCAGGAGCTTCTTTCACCCTTTCCTTCCTGTCCCATAATGGGTGCTTTCTGAGTCAGGGCATGCAAAGAGGCTTTAATAGGGTGATGCAAATAGCCTGGAGGCCTCAGTTCACAGCACTCAGTTAAAGGTCATGAAACTGTTGATTATGTAGATCAGGTAGGCAGCTGAGCCCGGACCCAGGGAGGCAAAGAGGGAAATATGTGCAGAAGCTGGAGAGGCCAGTGTGGGGAGGGTAATGGCAGGGCCAGGTACCCAGGGAACACTAGAGGGGGCACTAGTGTTGCCCAAAGAATGTGCTGCTGCTTCTCAGGAGGGAAACTCCTCCCAGGGCTGGTCCTGCCCTCTGAGGCCTGCCTAGGAAACTCCAGGAGCCTGAGTGTCCTCACAGACCTCGCTAGTCCCTGTGCAAGATGGGTAGTTAAGACTGGGTCTATTGGGAAGGTAGGATGCCTGATCTCCTGGTATAACAGCAGGGGTCATTTGGAGCCTTGGTCACATGCAGACAGTATGGACAAGGTCCTATGCTTGTCCTTCCTGAGCTCCTGTGGATGTGTTCTGGGAATTTAGCTGTGGGGATGTTCACGTAGTATTGCATCTAGCCTTGTCATTTGAAGCTCCTCATAGAAACTGGATCACCGCTGGCAGGTATAGAAATTGCACTGTGATGGCTCCCTGCTTGCTGAATGTTGTGGCTTCCATTCACACAACACTCTGTGGGCAACTCTATCACTTGGCTGCACTTTTCAGAGGCCTCTGTTTTAGTATCTTTGAATGGAGCTTAAAAGAATGTTGAAAGACACACAATGGCTGACCCTCGATGAATACTCAAAACATATTTTTGTTAATTCCCCTACCAAGTTGTAACATTGTGAGGCCTGAGGAATCCAGCTGAGGCTTAAGAGACAGAGGTCTTGATGTTTTAGGGCTGCTGCCTCCCTGAATTCCAGATAATGGACAGAAAATGCAAGGAAATTCAAGAAAATCTTGGTCTACTATTGAGGCCCAGGTACCCAATGACAGCCACTGGGTGGTGCTTCCTTTAGGACTAATGTCCTAGGCCACTCGTGTGCTATACTGAGACACTGGAGCCCAACTGCAGTTTAGAGTGTCCATCCACAGGCCTCAGAGGTGCATTCACCTTCTTAAGCCATGTCAAGGCTCTGGCATCTGCCTTCCACTTCTAGACAAGCAAGCAACGTATGACCCCTTTTGGAGCTGGAAAATAATCTCTAGTTTATACAAGTAAGGAAGTGTGTCTTACTGAACAGTGGTCCCATCTGTGCCTTTTAATGAAGGAACTTTCCTTTCATCCCCAGCCAAGACAGAGCTGGCCAGGTCATAGGCTACTGGCCAGAGGTGCATAGCTGGCCATGGACCATACAGATGCTCATCTGTTGCTGTGGGAAGGAGGTATGATTTCACCTTCAAAGAGGACAGGCTGTGAGACTATCTCTCTATTTTTGTTTTAGTACAAACAGTACTTTCAGAAGCAGTCAAACATGGCACTGTGGGGAGGCCCATCCCCAGGTCCATATCAGATACAGAATACCCCATTGATTTCACTGCCCCAGCATGACCAGAACTCTGGAATGAACACAAGTCACTGAAATCGGCTTCTAATGTCAACTCTCCAACAGGCGTCACGTTAAATCTCTATAAATCCTTCTGAAAGATGGCCAAGAGATTTAAATGTGGAGCAGAGGAAGCTGGGAGGATAACAGGACACTGAGTCCAGCTGCTAGAGACCCAGAGAGAAGAGGCTTTTGGATTCCAACTGAGCGGATTATAACACTTGTGCAGTGACTGTAGCTTAGAGATTTGCAGTCGGGAAGGGGCAAAGGAGACACATTAGTTGATATAGAATATGGTTTTCTGACTACAAAAACATGCGGTTTGTCTTCTGAGATATTAGAGCATCATTTATGGGAACTGAGTCCAAAAGAAGTGCAAGGAGCCCAGACATATGAGGGCTCTGATGGAGTCTGCCCCCACCAGAGATCCTTTGGAACAGAGGATGAAGGCTTAGACATGTTCTCCAGAGAAAAGACGCCCTATTCTTCATTTCTGATTGTCCTATAGTATTCAGTTATTCAGAGTTAGTAGAGGGACCTCAGATTTTGAAATTACTGTTTTACCAAAAATTCAGTAAAATAAAACTGACAGCCCCGTTGGCTAAATGTAGAGCAGAGGCAAATCCCAGAGAAAAAGAAGACCCCCCAGTTAAATTACTGTTTCTGACAGAATCACGGCCTCCGACTGCTGCAGGGAGACGTCAGCTGGCTTAAATTCTTTATCAAATATCTCCTGATGTTTGCTGTTCCTTTTTTCCTTCTTTTTGTCCTTCTTCTCCTTATCTGGATCGTCCTTGTCCAGCTTGTCCTGGGACCTGGAATGCATTTTCTTTGGCAGCAGAGGCTCTAGAGCAAACCTAAAGGAAATGGTTCTTTAAATCAGTGATGTCCTAATAGGACAGCAATTGCTTTTTACCCTGCAGAGATATGTAAAGTCACTCACGGTGTATTTCAGCGCTGCCAGGGAACTGCAGGCTTGTAAAAGGGAAGGAATGATTCAGAAAGAGGTACAGAGGGACATCAGACATATAATGACCAACTGTAAGGAGTTTATTTGGTTTCCAATAAAAGCTAACTGGAAAAAGAATATTTATAAGACAATAATATCATAGGATAGCTGGCCAGACTTGTGGAAAAGTGAAGCCTGGCCAGGTAATTCAATATGATGTTAGGAATTTTGGTTGATTTATGATGATAGGATAGCATTCTACACACATTTAGAAATTTATAGTGGTATATTCACAATGCAATGGAAAACATGCGCATATGCCAATGTAGAGATTTCTAATACCTTAATTCTGACCAAGTTTCTCTGATTCTAGACATTTTAGCAGTTCCTATGTGAAGTTCTTTGGATGGATCAGCCAGAAGCAAGCAGACTCTATCTCCCAGGTGCCTAAAAATACACTTGGGTTCTCAGATCTGAGTTAGAGACAGAGGACCTGCTCTCGCACCTGCTTGTGAGCCTAAATGTTTTCTAATCTCTGGGATTTTCTTGTTCTTATTCACTAAAGGGACCAAGGACACCATTGCCCTCTGCTTACTGAACAGCAAACAGTTAGTGTAAAACTGGTTTAAAGGTTACACTACTAAGCATATGGAGTTTGGACTAGCTTTAAATACAAGGCATATGTCAAAAGTCATAATGTGTATGTTTGCGCTCACAGCTACACATGACTACAGTTTGCTATTTCAGCACAGGGTCACCTGGCTAGTACTTCTCATACTCGTAAGTCATACTAAGAAGGGGAAGAAATACAACATTGGAATCTCATTAGGCTTCTGCAGCTCCTGCATTAAGAACAGAGTTAGCAGAGAGGGCCAGATGGAGAAAGGTATGAAATGGCTTAAAAATCTAACTGCAGGGCCCATGTGCAAGGTGTTGTTAAGGGGATATTGTATTTTAAAAGGAGTTCCACTTAAACAGTTATATTGAAAAAAGAATCTATCCTATGATTTCAGATACATGTCTTTTTCAGTGGTGGTCTCCATGTTAGTTCCACGTGGTCAAAGGAATGAGAATAGAAGACGCTCCCTGTCCTCTAGTTGCCCAAAGTCCAGCTAGTCCCCAAGTTAGGTGGTAGGGGAAACTCACATGCTCATAATTCAGACCAAGATGGTCCTGATCTGGCTCTCAGGTGCTCCTGGACCTCATAGCAACTTTCAAATCTCAATTCTTAATTACCTGAAAAATTCACAGGCTTTTCAAGGAGAGAGAAATTTCTATAATGAGTCACATTTTTGTTGTATCTGTGGTTTTTCTTAAGCTGATTCCTTAGTGGAACATCCTAACCCTAACCCTAAGTACTACTCTGAATAAGAAGAAGCCCCCACAACATCCTGGATCCCTAATATGGGCTATATAACATGGAAATAACCCTTAGCTGGGCCAGAAAGGGAAGGATTATTCACACAATTGTGTTTAAAATCCACTGAAGATTCAGATCTCTATGTTGTGACTCCTCCAGTCTAACAGGGTCAAGCAGAAAGGGATGGAGACTGAATCATAACAGCAAGGCACCTAAGCATTGATTATCTATAGCTGTTAATGTCACCAAGGGAGAGAAAGCCTGTTATGTTGTCTCTAAATACAAAAACATACAGTTAACTATGAAATCATCTAGCCTCTAAATCAAACTTGAATCTGACCAAACCCTTAGATTCAACTATCAAAACACAGGAAATATAGGGGGTGAAGACACACGTCAAACAATACTACAGGAACTACAATCTAGAAAATCCAGACTGTGCCCAGAGCAGAAATAACCTGAGTTATGAACAATAAATTATGAGGGAAACAAATTTTTTTTTAAAGTAGGTTGGGAGAGACTTGATAATAACCAAGTCCAGGTGAGGCCTTTATTTGGTCTTAATTCAAAAAAACTAAATATACATAACATTTGTGAGGATGACACATTAACACTAATATATCATGATAATATACATTTTCTGTTAATATTTTATGTGTGGTAATAAAGTGGAACAGTTATGCTTTCTAATAAAGTTCTTACCTCTTAGACATTCATGCTGAACTAGCTATAAATAAAATGATGTGATGTTTGAGATTTGCTGAAAATGGAGTAGGACTGGGTGGGATACAGACAGAAAGAAGGTGAGCTAAGAGTTGATACTGGGTGAGGCTGGCACATGGGACATGGTACCTCATTATACTCTTCTGTTCACTTTGTAGATGGCCCCTGAAATATTCCCCTACTATGAAGTTTATAAATTAATGATTAATGAAATAGATCAAAAGACTTTGATCACAAAAGCATTTTTAGACACCTGGATATATCAATAAATCAATATCCAATAAATGTTCGACATTGTATGTAATACATTATAAGGGTAGACATACAACCAAAATCTTCATGATTTTACTTTGAGTTTTGGAGAATTTAAGATGATTAATGTAATCAAAAAAAGGATCAAGGAACTCTTTCTGGATAAGGGAGGAAATCTAGGGTGCACAGTCCCGATGAGCATGCTAAGAACCAGGAGGACAGGATGTTTTCAATGTTTCACGTGAAAAGACACAACTATTGATGGGATGAACTTCGCACATCACCTGTGCCATCAGAAATCAAGCCTCATTTCCCCAGGCTGGTTACATAATGAAGGGTGCTTATCCCAAGAATGAACAAAAATGTGAACTCTAATAAAGATGCCTTCCAGTTAAAGGTTAAACAAATGCCCCCCAGGGAAAAGCCAACTGCAGTATACCACGCTCCATCTAAAATCTCTACATCAATTTCGGTCCTAACCTCTGTGTTCTTGGAAATATAGAAAACCCATCTCTAACTAGCCTGGGGATTCTCTTGAAGAGAAGTTGCATTAAATTTCTTCAGTAATCTTGTTCTAAATGACAGGCACTCATGATTTAAACACCACTAAACTGAGAATTTCCATATGGGTTTGGCCTTATAAATATCAGACACTGATCAAAATGACTATTAAGGAAAAAAAATGTGGGTGTAGCTTGCAGTTCTCCATTGAGCACATCAATCGTTGGCAACAAAGGGTACTTTGAGTGGAACTGTCCCTGGGGATTCTCTGGAAGTTGGTGCCTGAATGGTTGGCATCGGGAGCCGGCAAGTTTGATAAGAGTGATGGATTATAAACCAAATGAGCTTGGACAAACACACAACTGTGCAGAACTCTGACAGTAAAATAATTACAAGTGCTTTGATGTTTAATTTGCATGCCCATTTTTTTTCGCTTTGTATAAGAACTAACTTTACATGGTTGTCACTCAAAAACACACACAAAAAAACCAACATGAGGGTGTCTTTACAATAACCTGAGCTAATGTAAAAGCCACAGTGAATGCACAATGTTCGTTAACTAGTCTAACTAGTAGGTTTATGTTCCCTTCTTAATTACTCTGTGCTATCAGAAGTAAAATTAGGTCTCCAACGTGGTCTTGCAAAAAGATGGCCATCACTCTGCTGGGGTTTGGTGGAATCGTTCAGTCATAGAGAGAGAAAGCACAGTGGCAGTTGTTGCCAGGTGGTATTGTTTACTGGGTACAGAGTTTTAGTTTTGTAAGATAAGAAGAACTGTAGAGATGGATAATGATGATGGTTGCACGACAATGTGAATGTGCTTAATACCGCTGAAATGTGTACTGAAACACAGTAAATTTTAATGCATATGTATTTTGGCATAATAAAAAGGGTAATATGCATCATACTGTTTAAGGTGGTCATAGACAGTATGCGACAGATGGTTACTCTCAGAAGTACTCAACTTAAGCAGCAGTTCCTTTCTCCCTTTAAAAGATAATAAATCTCATCAGAAACAAAAACCAAAAAAATGTTGCTTTACAAAAATAAAACAAAACAAAAAAAAAACAAAGAAAGAGGAGGAGGAGGAGGATCAGCTAGTTGTCATATAACTGCTCACCATGTGACAGCAGACTTGATGGGGGCACCGACGACAGCATCTGCTCAGAACACACTAGCCCCCTCTGGACGGCACTCTGCAGGACGGCATTAGGTAAAAGGGCCACATGCAGGACTGCAGGGACTGCCTCTTCCATGACACATGGAAGGGGACCAAATGCTCACTGAAAGTTTTAACATTTGATGGAAACTTTACCCGAAGTGCTATGCACACCAAGATCTTTTTGCTCAACAATCACAAGACTCTGAACATCACACTGGGCACTGTTGTCATAAAGTCTTGGAAGGTCTCAATTTCAAAGATAATATTAAGAAAAAAATAAGCCTTGGTTGTGATAAGCTCTTGGCTCCTCATGGGTTGAAGGCTCTAAAGTCCTTCCTTCCACAGAGCTCCTTGCTGCTAAGCCCAACTTACCCATCAGAGCCTGGCCTGGAAGGGGTGCTGTCGGAGGACAGGGAAGAAACTGAAGCCACGGACAGAGGCCGGGATGACGAAGGCATGGTGAAAGACCGCACCATAGATCGAGGGCGGCTGCCTCTTCTGTCATCCAGACTTGAGGGCTGAGGCGGAGAGAGAGAGAGATAATTTTTGATGCATGCACCTACCATGATTCCCGCAACTAAGTGGTCTGAGAAGTACAGCATATAGATTGCAAGTGTCCAATTCTATAAACAGTTCATATCCTTGTTTTGAGCTGAGGACAAAAGCGATGATCATTTCAACATCTTTTACATCTGATTTCATGTAAAAAAAATTACCAAAATGAACCTGTGGCCTTTTTATTTTAAATGTAATTCCCTTTATTGAGAACACAATGCACCACCCTGTTTCACAGTAGAACACAGTGACTAGCAAGTTTAACATAAAGAATAACATCTAGATGTGATTAAAGAATCTGCAAGATCTTTTGACAAACCTATACATCTTTGCATGTTAACAGACTATGCAGATCACAGATGTGCAGAGACCTAATGACCGAACTCCTCTCACTACAAGAGAGGATCCTGCATTTAAGCAAAGGCGAATGACCATGCCACAGATTAGACAGAGCTGGGATACAAGTTGTGAAAGCTCTTTCTCTTTGTTAAGTAGTGGACTAATGATATACTGGAAAAAAATGGATTTGTGGGTGGAGTTTTCCATTCTCTCTCTGACATTGTGCACATTGTGAAAACAAGTGTCACTGAAACGTAGCATGTGTCAACTTCTAATTAGCTAGAAAATGCTACTGTCTGCCTCCTGAGCCAGATGTGGGCACATCTGGGACCTCAGCTGCTGCACAAGCATTTTCCTCTAACCTGAAGATGTGGAACCCACATTCCTATAGGTCACACCTAAGTACTTTTTCAACATACTCATCCCACTCTGTCATTGTTAGTATCCCACACAGTCAGGTACTTGTAGGAGACCTGCTGTAAGACCTTCCAGACCTCAGAGGTAAGAAAGGGTCATCACAGTTACTTAATACCATTGCTACCTCTGAACAGTGAACCCATTTCTCACACAAATGATCTCAAAATAAAACTTGACTTGTCAACTATCTCCTGAACAGTAAAATGTTCAAAACTGCAAAAGGGCAGGAGTTCTGTGAAAAGACCAGACAATATTCTGTGCATGCAGGCCATATGTCCTTTATCAAAAGTACTCTACTTGACCATGGTAACACAAAAGCAATCACAGAAAATACAGACATGAGTATGGCTGCATTTCAGTAAGACGTTATTTGTAGAAACTGTGGTGGGCCAGTTTGTTGATTGCTGGCTCAAGGAAATATGCATGTAGAAATTGTATATTGAAGATGCTTACTATAACTGATTAACCTTTATGAGGAAACTGAAAGGGAAATAGTTACCTATAGATTATCCCCATGTGTGAAAACATTTCCTACACAAAATCTGGGAGACTCACAGTCTCCCAGATCCTCTTCACAGCCTTTCTGCAACACTACTGGAGGGCAGCCCAGTTGCCATCTTTCTTTCTCCGAAGGGTTTCTCCTCTTAGCTTTTCCTGCACCCAACGACCAGTTTTGTGTCCTCATTATCCTCACTGATCTTCAAGAATAGTTCTATCATTTCCTCTAGGTTCCTGTGACCACCTGATCTGCTATGCTCAGCACCATCCCACCTACCTGGGCTGCTGCATTTTCTCTCTGCCATGTCTAAGGGACTCTGACTTCCTCTACATTTTACATGAGATTTGTTGGCAGCTGTGGTCTTTCCACATCATTTTTGGTCAACATCATCTTTGGTCATTACTTTCTCAGGTGGAGAGGTGGAAACCATCTTGAGAAGGTGATTGAGTTTCTGAATGCTCACCTAATCAAGCCTTCTGCTGGGGAGGGCTATTATCTTGCCTCCCCTAGAACTGCCTCTGGCTTGACTTCAGCATGATCTTTTTCAGATATAAGGTGGAAAGAGAAAAGGAAGAGAGCCAGTAGCTGATTTCTGTAGCTTGGAAGTTGCTGCCTTTGTGTTCCACTACATATTGAGCAGGTGGAAAAGTAGCATCAAATGATATTGAGACTACAGTTGACAAGAAACCTGACCGTCTGACATGTGGGTGGAGCCCAGGCGCTGTGAGCCTGGTACTTAAGAGCATCCAGCTTGTTTCCGCACCTCTGTGATAAAATGGTTCGTAGCAGCCACATCGCAACATCAGGAGAACTTGAGCACTGAGTAGGAGTGCACAGGAAGGACACAGTCAGGGACCCGGAGATGGGGATATCCAGTGAGGGTAACCTCACTCTAGCTGTCAGCAGGGCCAGAGAGCAGTCCTTCAGCCTTCTATTTACCACCAAGGGTTGTGATGTTGCCTGGAAGGTGACCTTGAGTCCTGGCCAGGCTGTCTTAGTATGTATGGAAATAAATAAAAGAGGATGAGAGGGGTAGCTCTGGCCAAGCAGGGACAGGAGCCACTCTTGGGGTGCCACATTTGCAGGGTACCCACTTGGTTATAGTTTCCACTGTTCGTCTCACAATTCTTTCTTTATTGAACAAAGCCTCTAGAAACAAGAAATAGCACATTCATCAGTTTCATCTGAAGCAATTAGACTCTCCCACAGTCCCTACAGGTGAAGCTACTGGTCCAGGACACTGTGAGTACACTGGCATCTGCCTGTCCCAGCAGAAGGGCCGACAGGTTAGGAGTGCATGTGCTGGGATGGGCCAGAGCCTGGGCTCTGGCATCAAAAGTGTGACCTTGTATAAAATAAGGAGCAACCCTGAGCCTCGGTTTCTTCTCCAGCACACAGGGAATCATCCTCTCCCTTGAGGGTGGTATGAGGATTAATGAAGTGTTGTGGGTAAAGCTAGAGGGCTTGGCACACTATGGATGGCAGCTCCTCTTACTTTGCTGCTGTTGCCACAGAGCCTGAAAGAAAAACTTCTCTGTTTTGTTCACTACTTCTGAGTTTTACATTGTTGCTTCCCAGGTGAACCTTGATCATGGGTGTCAATTGTGCACTGAGTCAAGAAAAGGAGTAAAGGGTAGGATTAGCTGAATTTAAGCACGGTAATCAGTGCTCTCTGAGGACGAGAAGCCAGTATATTTTATTGTTCTCTGAAAATGTGCCTTTCCACATGTTACTCAAATGCCAGTTGCAGACTGAGACTCATACAGTGACATGCTGTGCTCTGTGAAGGCTTGCGGGGTCCAGGTCCAGGAACAGGAGAAGCCCTGGAAGCAAGGAGACAGGTCAGGGGTCTGTGGTAATGCACATGTGGTGGGTAAAGGCCAGCACCACCAGGAAGGTACTCCTAGGGCTGGTGCAGGGTATGGAATGAGGGGTGACTTGGGGTTCTCATCCATCTGAAGAGTGTATGTGTGCAAGTGGCCAGTATAGTGGGACAACATATGCTAGGCTGTGGTTGGAGGTGACCCCTGGGGGTTTGTAGGAGGAAGCAGAAGAGACAGGTCGGGAGGTCCTGAGACAGCACCTGGCTTCCTGTGTTGCATCCTGGGCTCTTCAACAGACTCAGAAGAGGCAAATGAAGATGGGGATGTAGATGGGGCAAGAAACACAGAAATAATTTCATGAGCTTACAGGATAAAGGCAGAATCCCTCTGGGGGCTGTATGCCAGTGCTGAAGGCACTCTTCTCCTGGTCTTTCTCCCAGGCACCTGAGGGTCCACTGATCCCTCACTCATGGGAATGGTGCCTCCTTGGAGCTCCAGGACTGGCAAAATAAAAGCCAAAATGGAATGGGCCAGATCACCCTTATTACTATGTCAGAGGGTGTCCAAATTTTCTCTGAGTCTTAGAATGGCTCAAAACATTGATGGAATGGTTTATTGTCTTTTCTATGGGTATTTTATTTTTAAATTTCCCCTTTTGGAAACAGGATGATACCATATTGCTTTTCCAAGGTATTCTGGGATGCTTACAAATTTCCAAAGTAGGTAAGACAAGAAAAGTACCCCTCACACTGCTTTTAATGTCACATTTCTCAGAGAATCAGAGCACCACTCACCTGCCCTTATATATGCTAAAGACTACAGAGCCTCCCTTCATGGTCCCTAGATGGAGGAGAACTCAGAAAGGCAGCTCCTGGGAACAAAGTACTCGATGGTGGGAAATATTCTTTTAATTGTGCTCCTGTATCATCTTGCCAAAAAGCCTCATGGCTGCCCAGAGAAAGGCAGGCAGGAAATTTGGTGATGATGTTACCTCTGGATATGATAGAAATTGTTCCCCTCCAGCCAAGGATGACTGGCATGGAACTGAGGAAAGCTTTCCTTCAGTAGAGATTTACCCTTGTTACCTACACATCATCCTCCTGTCCTTCCTTTCTTTCCCCACCTAACCCCTGGAATAAACCTGCTCAGAGATAATGCTTCTCAGCAGAGAAAAGGATATGAAAGCTGCCTGGTGAGTCTGACAGCTTTCTGTAAGTCTTGAAATTTGCATTTAATGACTGATGAAACAGGAAGTTTTTCACTTAGAAACTCAGAAGTGGCACAAGTGTTTATTTCTTAGAAAGAATTAGAAGTTGCATGGAACTTTGAAACAGCCGCCTTGTGACGCACTCCGAAACTCTTTTTGCCACTCAACTCTGATTATAATGAGCTGCAGGCTTCCAAGTTATCAAGCACTACTCAAGGATTCTGACTTGTACAGAGGGTACTCCAGCACCTTGTGAAGGATAGCACCCTGGTTTCTGAGCCTGTTTACTTGTAGCAGCTCCTGCTGGGCTGTCAGTCCCAGATTCCCACCTGCTAGGTTTCCAGACCAGGGCTGGGCAGCTGTGTGACTGTCAGGTTCATGCCCTGCTGGGCCCGAGACTAAGATACATAGCACCAGGCTTGGAGATATGGAGGCTCAGCTATGCTCGATAAGGGCTCATCTATAAGGCTTTTTGGCATTACTTAAAATCACAAGCTGCTTTTCTGTCATGCTGTTGGTCCCAGTGCCAACCCAGAAATCTTGCACAAACTCATTTAAAAACTTAGGTTTGCCCTTCATCATGAGCACCTTGTTCACACCTTGTGACTCCTGAGGGCTGGGTTCTTCTAACTACTGCCCAAGATATGCCCATGTCTTCACTGGCCACTGAAATCTCCACTCCCTTCTTTGCCTGGCCCACTTCCATGAATAAGTAGTATCTGATAACAATTTCAAAGCTCAGTAATCTGTTGCTTCTCTCTAAACTACAGTTTGTAGACTTTGACTGGATTGATCATGGACTCCATTTCTGTTTTGGGACACCACAAGTGCTGTCATCTGAGTGTCATTTAACCCTATGTATGTGTTGCATGTCTGTACATGTGGGTTCTGTCAATCAGCCAAGTCACCTGGACCACTGTGAAGATTCTCTGTGTCTCTATAACATCAAGGGAAATCTGTTTAGAGGAAGTGACTGCGGCACTTGGTGACCAAGAAAATCCATGAGTGTTTGTTCATGCCGATATTTCCAGGTACTGACAGGTACTGGTGACTGGTTAGTGGACTAATGAAGGGGGCTGAGCTCCTTTACAGCTTGCTTGCTAAGCACATAGCATGTGCATATCTTGGCTCATGTGCCCTGTGTACCTTGCACAGTTGGACACCGCATCTTTTGCAAACATACCCACTTACCATGGTCCGGACACCATATTGCTTTTCCACTTTCTCCTTTAGTTGCTTGAAGCAGGCTTCCATTCGCTCATGAAATGGCCTCAGTGCCTCTGTGACTTTGTCTCCATGAATCCTGATCCCTTCAGCCAAAAATGGGATCTGAGAAACACAGAGGTTGACATTCCTTATTTCTTGGTTAATGGTCTAGAGAAAGCATTCCACACCAGTGGGAAAAAGGCACCTTGCAAACTGCGCTGCTTTTGTTTCCATATCAAAGTGACTGATTCAATTCATCATCAGGAACATAGCCTGAAAGACTAGACTGTTTAAGTGGAAATCACTGTGTTCCCAACTTACGTCTAGGGTGGGGTTCCCCAAACAAGGGATATCCCACTACTTTGCGTGGGCCATCAGTCTCAGAACAGACTCACTTGTGGAAAGAACTATGTTTTGAATTTTAGATGTCACTTGTTCTGCTACCAAAGAGCCATGTCATAGTGCAAACATTTTTTAGCTAAGAATACTGCCTTTACAGACAATTGAGAACTCTCCTCCAAAACACAGGAATCTAATTATATGTGATCTATAGTCCTGAAGGATATTCTTATTTAGAAAGGAAAACTAAATTTATTCTTCTTTAAAACTAAAAATAATCATTTCTCTGCAGACACTGCTGTCATAAGATATCCATGCCAACACTTCACTTCTGAGAGTGGAGATGACGCTAACCTTTAAGACTGTCATAAGAGACATTTTCATGCTCCCAGCGGCACAGGCCTCCTCCCAGAGTTGTGCTGTTGGGGTGGGCACAGGAAGAGGTTCCCTTTCTGTCCCTTGCCTCTGTTCCTTCCTGTGCTTGGGCTGGGAGTTAGCCATTCTTCAATGCAATCAAGCTAAGAGGCTTCCTCTTAATAATTTATAATTAAATCAAAATACTGATTAAAAACAGAGTTTCCTAAGAGGACGGAATACCAATCTGAATGAGCAGATTTATTAATAAGAGGGATAATAAGTACACAATTGAATTTCATGTGAACAAATTCAAGACATCTTATCAAGATGAATCAACACACAAAATGTATTCGTTTGCCATTTATAGCGCATAGCTGCTGCCTCTCTTGGTACTCCAGGAAAGGGCACAGTAAGTGAGCCTCCCCAGGCTCACAGCCCTCCCAGGCTGCTCTCAGGCTGCACTGTACAAAAGTCTGTTTTGCTAACAGTTGGGCTTAGACCCAAGGCACATGCCTGTTATCCCTTTCTAGCCAGTTATTACTGAAAGGACAGTGTGCAGGTGAGATTTCAAAATAGATGGGATGTTTTAATATTCCATATGACTTTCTCATGCAGATGGCAGTTTCCCTGGGGTGAGCCACAGTTTATTCCGACCAGCAGTAGAAAATGTTCACTGTAATGTATTTGCTTACTGAGATCTGCCTTGGGGGATGAAAAGCATGCTGGGACAACTTTTGGTGGCATGGTAAATGTGTCTGTCCAAGTGCAAAGGTGGGTATATCCAAGAATGCTGTCTCAAGGTTAAAGTACATCCACCTTAGATTCTGAAACATGTTTGGTTTACAGTGGCTTTTTTCAGATAGGCAAAATGCAATCTAATCATGATGATGGTTTTTGTTGTTAGGGGTGGTGGTATGATTAAAACTCTTAATTAGTCAGATTCTTTAATTGAAGAAGCTACCAGATGTGAGTTGAGGCTACTTGGTTTAAGGCACTGGTACTCCTTGAATTGCAATTTGGACTGTGACATTAAGGTGCAAAAATTCATTCCTCTCAATGATCCTGGACATTAAGTGGATAAAATCTTCTTATAGGATGGGATCTGGTCACCAGTTTTATGTCTATTTGGAGCTAGATTCCACATGAAAGATACAAAGACAGTCTGTGTAAATACAAGTCAGTGTATCAGGTGCTTAGATTATAAGGAAAAACCACAGATCTAGGGTCTGAAATGGGTTCCAATCTGGCTGAGTACCAAAACCTCTTGGGCAGTTTTCTTCACGTCTCCTCCAGAGCCATGACTTCTTGTAGGCAGGCCCTAAAATCTGCATTCCCAGTTTCCAAGAGCCTAGAAAGGGCCCTAAAGTTTCCCAGAGCCTAGAAAGGGGAGAGGATTTCCTCAACGTCACATTTCCAGTTGTTCCAAGTGAACTTGCAGCCTGTTCCCAGACAGTGCCTTCCCAATGGGAGGTGCTACATTTGAAATCTGCTCCTGTCTGTTTCTTGCACAAATTCAGGCCCTGCTAGGAACACAGAACATTTGGAAGCTGAGCTCAGTACTCCAGGAGTATCAGCCTTGGCCAAAAGGGTGATCTCCATTGTCAGCTGGTCCTGATGAGTGAGTCTGGCCTTTCATCTTTGTACGTTTCAAAGGAAAAATATACACACATCATAGCAGTTTAACATGAGACTGTCTAGATTCATCCACTTTGGACACTCGGCGGAGATACTCAACAGTGACAAGTAAGTCTGGGAGAAGTGCCTTTGAGAAAGTGGCTTATCACTGGGTGTCAGATGCAAACCTAACAGACTTCAGCAACCTACATTTCCTCCTGTCTCCCAGTGGGGCAGAGGGGCAGGTGGACACCACACTTCATTTTAGACAGAGGGAGGAAGCAGAGCTGTGGAGCATCCTACAACTGATTAGCCATCCTCCACCAACATCTGTGGGCCCTGGAGATCTGCTTATTGTTACAAAGATGATGCAAACTCTGCAAAACCAATCCTGGGACTCCCAGGAGTAAAACTCCCCTCTGAGAGTTTCAAGGAAAAACCAAAACCAAGTGTTTGAGAAGTTTAACTAAGCAGTCCAGCAAAGGGGCCAGGGTCCTTTATTTTGTAAACATCCTCATCCTGTACAAGAGGAGGGCAAGGAGGTGGAGTGAATGCTATAAATGCCTTAAGTGGGGGTAGCCTGCTTACAATATTAGGGAGGAAAAGAGGCTTTTTCTCTCCCCTTTTTCACTTGCAGCTTTAGCTGTCTTCTATCTCCTTGAAGTATTGCCCCTGTGCCATGCCACCTTGCCTTGGAGTTAGCTGATTAAGGATTGAAACCTCCAGAAACTGTGAGCAAAGTAAACTTTTCCTTCCTTAATTTGGGGTGTTGGATATTTTATTTCAGCAACAACAACAACAAAAAGTAACTGAGATACCAGGGGAACTAATAAAAAGAGAATGAAGTATTCCGATAACCCCAAATTTCTTATTTTTAATGAACACAAGACTCAATTACTGATATTAAGATACATGTTTTCAAAACATTTGCAAATGAAGGCAAAAATCATAGGTAATGTTTTGAATATGTATTTTTCTCACTCTTTGATTTAACGAAGTTGCTAGAAAACTGACTCAACTTTCCTGTGAGCTGCTTTAAAATTCATCCTTAATATAGTCATTAGGGGTGATGACATAGTGCTGACACAAAGTTACTCTCCGGGGAACAAATTATTTTCCTCTGTAGGACTTGAAACTCTTAAAATCCAATTTGCTGTAAAAGCTTACAAGGGGAAAAAAATCAATAAAACTTTTGCAGACCAAACTACTTTTTGTGTTATAGCATTCAGAGGAATTTTGAATTTTGTACTCTTTAGTTTCTATAACATCATTCAAAATGTCAACTCTTTCTCACTTTTTGAGAAGCAAGGAGACTGCCAACATGAAGCTTATATTCCATGCAAAGAAACCACTCCTGGCCAACAATGCTCTTTGCCATTTGCAGAGATTCTATCACAAAACAACTTCAGAGCAAACAGATTTCAAATGCATATAGATTTACGATGGAATCTAAGTATTTCCTTTTAAATGTGATCCTGTTAAAAGTATAAATCTGCACAGTGGCTATCATAAACATATAAAAACTGAAAATAACAAGCTTTGGTGAGAATTTAGAAAAGCCAGAATCATACATTATAGCTCATACGAACATAAAATAATATAGGCACTATAGAAAACTCTGGGACTAGTTAAAAAAAAATTGAACAATTTTATATGATCCAGGAATTCTAGTTTTTGGCATATACTGAAAGCAGGAACCTGAACATATATGTGTACACTCATGTTCTTAACAATATTACTCACACGAGCCACAAATTAGAAATAATCTAGACAACAGATGAATAAAGAAAATGTAGTCCATTCATATAATGAAGCATTACTCAGCCTTTAAAAAGAAACTGAAACATGCCACAACATGGTTAAATCTTGAAGTTATCATGCTGAGTGAAATTAACCAGACAGAAAAGAACAGATAATATATGATTCCACTTATTGGAGGTTCCTATGGTAATCATATTTTTAGAGTAAAAAAAATTGGTTGGTGGTGGCCAGAGATTGGAGATAGTGGGGAATGTGAATTGTTTGATGAGTATAGCTTTAATTTTGTAAGATGAAAAAGATCCAGAGATGGATGATGGTGATGGCTATACTATCCTATAAATATACTTAAAGCCACTAAAGTGTACACAAAAGAATACTTAAAATGGTAAATTTTATGTTCTATATATTTCTACATTGTATCTCAAAATGCAAATTAGGAGGAATTTGGTTTAAAACTCAAGTTCAGCGTTGCCACCCTAAGTGACCTTACTGGTCAATGTGCTGATGAGAGATAAGCCACAAAGATGAAGTTCCATGAGGATGGGCAGAATAAAAAAGCCCACAGAAAGGCCCCTGCAGAGGACATACCTCACCATGCAAGATAAGCTGCACAGAATCTTTGGGCTTCAACTGGGAGTCTGGCTTAGCAATGTGGCCTGAGGTACAGTGCCTGGCCCAACCATAGGAGGGTCCTCACCCTACCTTGCTCAGCTTCATATCAAAGGTTAGGTTTGGTGTGTGCAGACTGCACGCTCCTCATATGTACCACCTGCATATGAAAATGAGGCCTAAAGAAGTGAGTTGCCCCCAGTAGAAGAGTGAGCGCAGGCAGAGGTCCCATGAGAACTGGACAGGATGGTTCCATACTAGTGAGCTCAATAGGGTCTGATACATAAAGCACCCTCTGGAAGGTTTACCCACCCTGTCAAATGATGGCCTTCATCAGGCCTCAAGAGCAAGAGGAGAGGCAAAACAACTTGTAGAATCTCAGCTGTGAAAACATAAATGAGGACACACACCAACCTAGAGCAAAGGGAGAGGGGGCACTATCTCTTCCAACCTATGCACTTCTCAAGGACTGCAGTGCTTGGGCACCATTCCTGGGGACAGGCTGGGGCTAAGGGCTTCTTGGCTCGGAGTTCACTGCAATGTTTTTTTTTTTTTTTGTATTTCTATCAGAGATTTTCCAGCAATCAGGATAACTGACCAAAGGCAGGCAAGAGACCTTGTTCTTTGCAAGAGAGTATCTTCTGGATGCTTGAGTTACAATGGCAAATCACGTGTTGAGTCCATAGTGGAGGTGGGGACTGGGGCACACTTGGCACTTCCCAAGGGACACACACAGTCAGGCACATTCTGACCATGGTCCCACAGACTTCATGCTGACAGGCATGTGTATGAGGATGCTCAAACAGATCTGGGCCTAGACTCAGTTTCCCCTTCTCTACAAATACGAAAGGCTGCCATTAGACACTCTACCTGCCATGCAATCAGGTCCTTGAGCTTCTCAATCTGTCCATGGGCCTCAGGATGTTCCTGCAGGTACCGGTCTGTAAAGAAGGCCTGTGGAGATATTGGAGAGCCTTTCAGTGCACCTAGTCATCCAGCATAGACTTTAGTATACCTCCTGTTTGCCAGGCCCTGGAGACAGAGCTATGCATAAAATAGAGCCTCCCCAGACCCAAGGCAAAATTCTTGAAGTCAGACCCAATAAATGGAGCACACAGACAGTCCAGGTGGTTGTTCACAGCTGTACAACAGTGAAGCCACCACTGATCTGGATTGGTTCGTCTTGCTGCGTGACAGCAAATCTACTCCTCCCTGTTGTGCTACTGGCCCTGACCCACAGCCCTGCACCTCCCTTAGGCCTGATCTGCACTTGAAGGCTACAGAGCATTAGAAGAACACCATCTATATCTGACCACGATGATTCACACCTGTGATCCCAGCCACTCAGGAGGCTGAGGCAGGAAGACAGTAAGTTCAAGCCTGGGCAACATAGCAAGACCCTGTCTCGGAGGAAAAACTAAAAGAGGGGGATAGGGATATAACTTAGTGGTAGAGTGTAGCCTAGCATGTGTAAAGCCTTGGGTTCAATCTCTAGTAAAACACACGGATACACATCAACACACACACAACATGTCCCTTTTTTCTCCAAAGACAACCATCCCGATAGCCTGTTTTCTAGCAGTGCCCTTTCTCAGTTTTTACTCTGTCTAGATGAAGGGTCAACAAGCTTTATCTGGGAAGGGCCAGATTGTAAACATTTCAGGTTTTGTGACCCAAACAGGCCTCTGCTTAACCCTACTATTACTCTATCAGGAAAGAAGCCACAGGCAACAAGTAAAGGAAAAGGTGTGGCCAGGTTCCCATTAAACTTCATTTACCAAAATAGGGAGTGGGCTGTAGTTGGCAGATGCTGGGTCTAGCCTGGATTCATGGCCTTCAATTTGTGGCCAGGATCCTTGTACTAGATCAGAGCCACTTCCCTACTATTAACTCTTTTGTCTGTCTCTAAAATGGAATTTTGGGCCTTTAATGATCCTAGGCCTCTTGAAAGCTACCAAGGGGTCACTCTCTGTAGTCCCAGTATCCCAGCATGTGTTGTTGTTCAGTGGGCCTTCCTTGTTGCCTGACAATGCCTGGGGCTTGGGGCCCTAGATCAGATCTTGATGTCCCTGCAGCCTGCAGAGGCTGCCTCTGGGTACTCCTGCCTAGCTGTGGCTCTCTGAGCCAGTGTCTAGAATTTTTAGCTTATCTGGGAGTTGGGTGATGCAAAGAGAAAGCAGATATTTCACAAACCTTCTCATAATTTGCAAAGCCGCCCATAACAGCAGGGTCAACAATGCCATTAAGAAGCATGGACAGGGGGTTGATGGGCAAGCCAGGGTCATCCAGGTGCTGTTGCACCATGCTGTTGATTTTGTCATTTGTCAGCTGCATGGTCTCGATGGCATTTTCCAGGGGACTGATCTCCACCTGTAAGGGAAAGAAGGTGGCAGCGTCAACCTGGAGTTGCCACATCTGCTGGAGGGGTCTCACCAGAGGAGTACTGTGCCATGGTAGAACAAGTTTCCTATTCTTCTTGGGCATGGTCATCAGTGGGCCAGCCAAGGATAACTGGACATTTTATTATGGTTTGTTCTCATAGATGGACCTTCATTTGGAATACTGCAGATGAGCAAAGCAAGACCACTCAGCCCACGATAGGGGGGTTTATAAGGATGTGTGCATGTGCATGTACAGATGTATCTACTGTGCACATGTACACAAAACACACAACCCAAAGTGGTGCCTGATCATTATCCATTTTCCTAAAGAGTCCTTCCAACCAAGATCCTGTTCTCTGCTTGTTTTTTTTTTTTTTTTTTGTCTTTTTTTGAGACAGGATCTTGCTACGCAGTTCAGGATGGCCTTGAGCTCACTTTGTAGCCCAGGCTGGTCTCGAACTAACAACAATCCTTCCACCTCAGCCTCAGGAGTGCTGGGATTACAGGCATGAGCCCGCCTGGCTGTTCTCTGCTTGTTTTACAGAGCGTCAAGTTTTAAGGAATTTGAGGGTGTGTGAAGAAGGATAAACACTTTGAGAAGCCAAGAGCCTGCTGCCCCCCTTTAATTAGAACACCCTCCATGTCAATATGAGCTCTTGCTGCTTCTACTTACCCTCACAGCCTCAAGTGCAAACCTTCTGTGAGGCAGAAGGAAAGGAACTTGACTTGCATTCCTCTCTTGTACCTCTGTCGTCCTTTGAGGGCCCTCAAGTCTTGTCTGGCTCAGTTCTAAGGTACCATGAAAGCAATGCTAAGAGTAAAACATGACCTACACCTTTTAGAACTGGCTCTAGCAGACAGAACACCTTTCTCTAGGCTGTGTCATGTGGACCATGTCTAGGATGACTTCAACAATTGTTATTATTGGTTCAGTGTGTCAGCCTGAAAAGTTTGGAAGTTTAACTAAGAGACTCAGCAGGAAGCCAGGGTTTTTACTTTGTAAATACCCTCAGCCAGTGCAAGAAGGGAGAAAGGAGGTACCTACCCCTGGGGGGGGGGTGGGGTGGTCTGTGTACAATATAAGGGAGGAAAAGAGGCTTGCTCCCCCAACTTTGCTTTGGCTGCTGCCTTGAAGTGTTGCTCCTGTACCATGCCACTTTGCCTTGGAGCCAGCTGACTATGGACTGAAACCTCCACAAACTACAAGCAAAATAAACTTTTCCTTCCTTCCTTTTGGGCATTAAGTATTTTGTCTCAGCAGTGAGAGAAAAGTAACCAAGAAAGAAGTGGAGTGGGGTTGTTGCTGTGACTATACCTGACCATGTGGTTCAAGAGCCTTTGGGAATGGTTTGTGGTTAAAGTTTGGAAAGGTTGGGAGTTGTTGCCTGAAGGAGTAGTGCTGGAACACACTAGGCTTTTCTGTATGGGAGATTCTGGTTAGAGTTCAGGAGACCAGAAGGCTGATAGAAATCCTGCTGCTAAAGACCAGGCTTGGGAGGTTTCTGCTAGAAGAATGATAGGTTATTGAATTCCAGATAATGTGTGTTACGGCTTGGCAGAAAGTTTGTCTGAATTTTGCTCCTGTCCAGAGATTTTGCCAGAGACAGAGATTAATGGCATTAGAATAATTTATCTGGCAAAAGAAATTTCAAGGCAGTTGAATATTGAGGCGATAGCATGAATATTGTTTGGGGCTTGTAGCCAGATTTACATAGCAAATCAAGAACAAAGAGCCCAGCAGGATGATTTAAAATGCTGTGAGTCTGGCCAGAAAGGAAGCTCCAATAAAGCTGTGTACTGTAAAGATAGGGTTGAGGAAACCTCGGTTGTTGAGAAGGAACAGCATAATAGAAAAGATGGCCTGAAGGCATCACAATAAACAGCAAGTCTTACACCTTTGCAGCCTCAAAACTACAAAAGTGAAAGACTTTGCTTTGAGGTGAAAGCCATAGAGCACAATGTTCCAGAATGGTGGCAGCATAGAACATTTCAGAATTAGATTCTGAGTGCCCAGTGATCCAGGCACTTGACTCCTAAAGCCAAAATAAAGGAAAGCCTGGCTACTGCTCCAGCTGGCAGCAGACCTTGCCATCATTCAGATGGTGCTGGTTTTAGGTGCATGCAGAATGCAACAGTTCAGAGGTTAAAAAAGGTTCCACCTTGATTTCAGAAGGCTTGGGAGGCCAGGCAGTATTGCCCTGAGAGGGCAGTATGTGAAGCTGTGAGTGTGAAGTCAAAGGTACAATGGAGACCCCAGAAATTTGGAAAATACAGGAATGTGGATTGTCTTAAGGAAAGTTGCAAGGGAAGAGCAAAGCAGACCTAAGAGTGAAGCTTTGGGAGCTACAACCACCAGAAGTGCTGTAGGGGTGGAACCACACAAGTCCTTTGGAGCTCACATTTTGCCAGATTGCTTCAGATCCTGGATATGCAACTATAGGACTTCATATTTGCCCTGCTGGATTTTGGACTTGCTTTTCATCCTCCTTGTTGCTCTGGCTGCTTTGGCTGGCTGCTAACTTGAAGTGTTGCTCCTGTACCATGCTATCCTATCCTGGAGCCAGGTGATTATGGTCTGGAACCTTCCACAAACAGTGAACTAAATACATCTTTCCTTTTTTCATTTTGGGTGTTGGGTATCGTGTCTCAGCATTGAGAGAAAAATAACAGAGACAACAATAATGTTGGTTCTCCCAAAAGAAAGTGTGATAGGGCCCTGCCTATACCCAGGGATCCTGGACATCCCCAACAAATGGCAATGCAAGACTCTTACTTTGTTTTTGCTGAAGCATTTAGGGGATTCTCTGAGACGTAGGGAAGGGGATACCAGTAGACAGAAAAGGGACAACTGTGAACTTTCATTTCCTAGCAGGATGTCCTTGGTGTTTGGGGAGGAAATGGTTTTCAGAGGATGTACCTGTCTGTGAACTGATGGAGAAATAGCCAGAGAGAGATTGTAATGTCCAAACATAGCCAACTGTGTGCACACTGATGAAGGTGTCCCCTTGTCACACGTTCATCCAGGAACAACCTTGTCATTGACACCTTGCTTCATCAGAACAGACATGCACCTTCAAGTGGATACTTCAAAGTAGGGTTCCATTTAGCTGCAAGCTTATTTGTTGGCCTTGGGTTCATTTGCTTCAAGAAAGAATGGTCCCTTGTTCTCATCAAACAGTCTGGGCTAGCTGCTGCCCCACAGATATGGCATCTATCCAATGAGGAACAGCATTGGGAGGGGGTCTCATGGCAAGATTTCAGCCAGGCCATTCTGGGATCATTTGGTTTCCAGGTCTCTTAGTCTGTTAAAAATGACCAGAGCAGCCTGAGGAGGAGCTGCATCCTCACAAAGGTTTTCTGCCTCTCAGACATTAAGCCCCATGTCAAGCAGGATCCCAGAATCTCAGTGACAAAGAGCTTAGGACAGAGGCTCATAAGAATTAATACCTGTTTATGTGAAGGTCCTGCTTCTCTGTGTCTCACACATTCTCACCTGCTTCAAATGCAAAGGGGTGAATTTCTGTCACCTCACACCTAACTCCTGAAGTTGTTTATTCTCCTGAGGACTCTAACTGGAGTGCCAGGGAAGAAGGTGAAAACACCCTCAGGGAGGGACCAGCAGTGTAGAGATCTATGAACACAAGGAAAGGACTCCAATCTGGTAGCTGTGTGGGCTTGGGAGATGTGGGGCAGCAGTGAGATGCTCCTAGAAGCACTCTGAGCTATACTGGCAGCAGCAAAAGGTACCAGCAAAGAGAAAGGTGGAGACAGCGCTGGGGAGAAAGACTCCAATCAAGTCCTAGAGCCAAACAAGCAGGTGCTTCGCAGAACGCACTGTAAACTAAATGGCAAGCACCATTTCCCTGGGCAGGATTATGCCCAGTGAAGACACAGGAACAAAAACATATTTCAGTCAGATATTTTTATACTGGCAATTGCCACAGCTCTGACATTTTAGTATAGTCAATAAATCTGCTGCCTAACTCATGTAAATGAAACTGTCCTATAGTTTACCATCAATATGAGTTTCACATAAGTGAAACTGTCTCTTAGCAAGGCAAAGTTTAGCTAATGAGATGGGAATCATCACTCCTTTAAAAAAATGTCAGGGAGGGGTATATTCTCAGGCTATTTTTACTGAGAATTAGAAAGTACGATTAATTAAGTTGTTTGTCATGTAAATGGAAAAACCATCAGGAAGAAAGATTTTGTAAAAAGTTTATGTAAATTGGAAATTGTTTTAAACTTTTCATTTAGTTCAGGGAAAGAACTGTCAAAATAGCAAACCTATGGCTGAAATTAAATATTGTGTGAGCAGAAATGAGGCCTCGCCTGGTTTCCTAATCAGCCAGCACTGTGGGTGATTACATAGCTTTTCCACTAAAATACTGAAGGTGGGCGAGGAGATGCTAATGCTCTGGGGAACAGGCAGGGTGATTACATGCACTGCAGGGGCCATGGCCTACAGGCTAGCTGAAGTGACAAGGTTCTCAAGGGTGAAGAGGGTGTGTCATGCCCTATCAGAGAGGGAACAGATGATTCTGCTGGGGAGTGTCCTTACCATGAAAACAGACTTGACCTCAAACCACCTTAGAATTCCAGGCAATTTATATGCTGTTGTGTATACGGTTCTCTCAATCCACATATTCTGCAAAAGGAACACACAGAGTATGTTAGGAGGAATAGGTCAGCAGATGCATGGCTTGCCCCTTAAGGGATTTATATGTGTCTCCCTTCAGTGGAGGTCTCCTGGAGGGCATGTTTCTGCTAAGAGTCCAGGGCAGGATAGGTCAGGTTCCCCAGGAGCCATGCTCTGCTGAACAGACACTCAGCACATATAAAGTGTCTCCTGGGAAATGTTCACAGTTCTCTAGTATTTCACAAAGAAAATGGTGAGCGGGGAAGATATAGATATCTTAAAAGAGAATAGTTTCCTCTTAAATCGATGGATTTTTGGGAAGGGTCCAAATGAGTTTTATAGCCCTACAGAGTTCAAAAGAAACACAAAGGTGAAAATGCGTTCAGGAAGAAGGAGTTTAACCAAAATGACTTCTCATATTTTAATAAAATCAGTACTTCAAGCTTATTTCTATATAATTAATATGTTTACTTAACATAAAAATACGGAAAGGAGGAAAGATATACACTATGCATGGATGACAACTTGAATACTGTATGTATGTGTGTGTGTTATTAGAGACTGAACCCAGGGCTGTGCAAATGCTGTATAAATGTTCTACTACTGAGCTACCTCCCCAGCCCTTTTTAAAACTTTGCTTTGAGATAGGGTCTCACTAAGATGCTTAGATGGGCCTCAAACTTTCAATCTTCCTGCTTCGTCTCCTGAGTAGCTTAGATTATCACCTTATTACCAAGTACTATTCATGTATTTTTAAAGTATGTATATTTTAAATAAAAACATTGTTTCACAAAGTGCATTATTTGTAAAACTGTCCATTATATATCACAGGAAATTGCCTCAAGCCAGGAAATATAACTGTAATTCTTTAAAGGCAGCACAGAGCTCCAATGCAAGGGCAAACCTTTACACCACTGCTGGCTCAGGCTTGTGAGGCTTGTGATCATTGCCTGCCACTGTGAGTCTCTCTATTGCAGGATCATTAGGAGCTGAGTTTGAGTCCATCAGTAGTAACCTCGACAATAAACAGATGGGATCACGGAGTGACAACAATTCAAGAAGGCTGGGTTGTGTCCTAGGAACTTCTGAGATTCCCAAGGAGAGGGAAGGGCCCTGCAGAGGCTGGGATGGGGGTGGGGATGAGGGCACAGCCTGGCCTCCTGTTTCCTGTTGGGACTCCTTTGTCCCATAGGATGGTTCCCATGTGCTTGCCTGAGGGAAGGAAGCAGGTCTGCCCTTTCAGAGCTTGGTTAGACTAGACATCTAGTGCATTCTCAACAAACCCTGAAATGGTCTTCTAGAGTCTATTGGCTGCGTGGCCAGCTCAGATCTCATTCTTGTCTCCTCTTTGCATGACCACTGGGTCCAGGAGGCTCACTGCTTGCAAGGCTTAGAGGTACTGAGTCACTTCACCCAGCTCTTGGCTTGGCAGAGCACCTTTCCTAGCTTCTGCCCTTTGAGAATGGGCTTCCCAATACCACCAACATTCCTGTGCCTCTGTAGAAGCCCAAGGCTTCGTCAGGAATGTGCAGCACTAAGTCCAACAGCTCCTGAACACTCCATCCAGGTGCAAAGTTTAAAGGGGACCATCAGTGGACTCCAGCGCCATCTAGAAAAAACATGACCTCCAAGGCTTAGTGCGGCCTTGCCTCCTCAAATGTCAGGAGTCTTGGTTATTCTTATCTCTGCTCCTGACTTGCTGCTTACCCTTTGGCAATTCACTTGACTTCTTTCTACTTCTTTATAGCATAAGAACCTATACACTTGCCAGATGGGTACGGTGGCAGACAGACCACATAATAACGACATGGTTGCTTATGATATGGATTGCTCAGAAAGCTGCCACTCTTACCGCAGTGCCTGGACTGGACATGCCTAGGCTGTGCCCCCATTTTTGTAGTTATACAGACACTGCCGGGGCCAGTCACCAAGGATACTGGCATTAGCTAAGAAACAGGGCTTTGGTTTGAAACAACTCTAACGTCATGTTAGAACTGTAGAAAAAGTTCAGGATTCACCCAGTTCTAAGCTTTTGTTGACATACAAGTACGTTGACCTCAAGGCTGAAGGCAGTTCCCCACGATGGCTCCCAAGACCTTTGATAGGAGACTTACAGGATTTGCCCTGTGCCTCAGATGACAGGAAGAGCCTGAGGATATGGAGGGAAGAAGGCAGAAGTCTTTCTTTACTTGAGTCTTCCCTGAAGGATGTGCTCTGGGCTTTGCTTTGGGTCAGGAGCAGCTAATTGAACTCTATCTCCTGTATTCCAGAGGCTTTCAGGCTACAGACAAGTGAAAGCTATTTCCAGCATGGTGGTCCTCCCTGGGGCCACCAGGGCTAATGCCTCCTTGTAATACTGGCTTATAGTGAGGTTTCTTATGGATGGTTTCAGTAAAAACAGCTATTCACTTTTAAAACGCTGGCTCATTTGATACCTTTATAAAATGGAATCCATTAAACCAGTCTGTGTGTATAATTTCTACCAGGCTCTACAAGGATGTGTGTTAAAATTTCCATGATTCTAATGCAATGGTTTTCAACAAGGGATAAATGTTGCCACAAGGGATAAGTTTGGGAATCTTTCTGATTGGTTGTTACACCTGGGGAGATACTGGCATCTCATGGGATGTTACTGAATAGCCTAGGATGCATGGGACAGTCTCCATCACAGACAACTACCCTACCTATCATGTCACAGGTACTGAGGTGGAGCCCCTGCTGCAGTATATTAAGGTACACTGAAATTCAGTGGCAGGCAATGCACAGGGAGCATGCATCTGTATCTATATCTAGCTCATCTTCTGATTGTTATGTCATCACCTGCAGACACACACATAATAACTGCCCAGCACCTCTGTACACTCACTTTTAATTAGAGATATATGCATCTGCTCCACTCTCCAGAGTCCACAAGAAGATCAACACAGAAACATAAGGGGACAATGAAGAACCTAGTACCTTAATGGCATGGGTCATATTATTATTATTTATCTTGATCACCTTAGTGATTTGTGAAATGTCACTAGCTTTCCCAAATGTGGAGGGGAAATGGATCAGGAATTCTGTGTATATTATAGATATGATAGTTGATAGTCCTGAAAGGCTACACTTCCCGTCTTCCCTTTCCTCCCTCATTCCTCCCCTCCCTCTCTCTTTCTCTCTCTATCTTTCGGCTTGCTCTCTCTCTCTCTCACATACACACACACAGAAGGGAGAGACAGATTAATTTTTTGTTGTTGTTGTTTTTTACCGCAAATTCATTGTCTGGGTTTTTCTCCCCCTTCCGGACTGGTCGAGAATATTCAAATCGCTGGACCTCATTTACCCTGTAAAAACTGCAGAGACAGATTATTAGATATTTAACCCACAGAATAGCTAATTTGCTTTTAAATCACAGTCTAGCCTCAGAACTGGGCACTGTATCTCACAAAGTCTCCCCAGTGTTGACTCGCAGCTACAGCCTCTGTTTCCTCTCCCTGCGGCCTCTGGAGACACACGCTGGCAGGTGGAAAAATTAACTTGAGATTTTTACCTCCTTCCTGTCCCTGCCAACCCTCCAGGGAGAAGAGATGCTGAGTAAGAGGGAAACGGGCAAAAAACGAGGAAAAGGTGAAACAAAGGAGAGAGAGAAGGGCCTATATTCAGCGTATATGTTTGGTACTTTTAAAAAATTAATTAATAACCTAGCATTTTGGTTTAATAATTTAACAACATTATTTAGATAACTTAATAATTTATTATTTTTAAATGAAAAATTGTTGTGTAAATTATTTTTAAAAAGGAATCATATATATTAGTTTCAGATCAGAAGAACACACATTTTGCACCCACCCGAAAAGTAGCACACATACAGCAAAATCAGCCTGCCTTTCTCACTGGGGTTAGGGTCCCCAGCTTCATGGCAGGGCTGAGTGGGGAGACTTTGTTGCCCTCCTGCACTAACGTGTCAAAAAGAACTAAGCAACTGTGTAGTTCTCTATTTGGTTAATGCCTCTCTCTCAAAAATTGAAACAAAACAAAAACTCCTGCAACAAATGTGTGCCACGAGAAGCCAGTCATTTGCAAACACATTGAGTCCTAATTTGTTTCTATTACTGCTGATGAAAAGTCAAAGACATGATGACAAATTAAAGTCACCAGACTTCAGCAGGCAAAATAGGCAGATCCTCAGGAGTTCATTTTTTCCCTTCCCTTCAGTAGAACGTAGAAAATTCTTCACATCAGAGAATCATATGCTAATGCAATTGTTTCTACAACTTTGCTATGTCCCATGCAATCCCACAGCAATCACGCAATTTCACTCCAGTGTGGATGGCTGACCTGGGAGGTTTATAAACCGCCTCGTGATCTCACCTTACATAACTGTGGTCCTGTGGGCACAGTATTTATCTTGTGCTTCATTGGGAACAAATGTCCCAATTTCTTTTCCCGCCTCATAGAGCATAAACACAGGCCACACCCCAGCATGTGAACACAGACTGGAGGTAGGGCTGGTTTGGGCATTGTTGAAAAGCTCCACAAGGGATTCTACCTGCATGAGTATCTTTTAAAGGACAAGAAGGCCATCTCCTTCCTTGTGAGCTTTCATAGTTGTTTTCTGACCTCTGGAAAGGGGTGGGCTTTGCACTTTCTGCGTGTACTTTCTTCCTTTTCTCATGTGGGTGCTAGAAATCATTAGCTTCCCTTGCTCTTTGTAGAGAACATAAAGAGCATCTGGAATGCTCAATCAAAGTTAAAATGCACCTTTCAAAAGGTAGGGTCCTTAGCAGGAGACCTGTACAAACTCACTCAGCATCCTCCTGTTAGGTAAGGAAACTGCAATGATTACCTGACAATTTGCTCAGACACTGGTCGGTGAAACTTGGGGGGCAAGTCAAGTTTGGGTTTTACTGTGAAGCACTGAATGTCTGAGGTCAGAAAGGTCAAGGATCAAAAGGCACTATAGATGTGAACCATAAAAGACCCCCCGCCCCCGCCTCAGCCTTCCAAACGGTATTTGGACACTATGAGTTCATACAGTGTCTTTAAGGATACACTGGCCAGGAGAGTTTTTAATATCATCGCCTGGTGGAGATGTTGTCTTCATTTTCTCAGCGTTTGGAAACTGAGTTAACAGCCGAGCTTCAAAATCTTCCCGGCGTTCATACTCCTTCCCCCGGTAAATGAAAACTTTCCCCTGAAAACGATGACATTCATTAAATAACATCTCGGGGAAGGGCTGGGAGAAGCTCACATGCAAAAGCACAGGTCTTTGAATACGCTTGACGGTTTTTATTTTTATGTCATTGTATTTAAGAACGACTTGTAATTGCCTTGCCCATACTCATGAAGGACACAGGGAGAAATGCTATCTAAGTCAATGTTGCTTAGAAAGCAATGAACCTTACAGTATTGAAATCCTGCAACATGTTTCAGTCTTAACAGTGAAAACCAATTAAAAAATTCTGAAAAACTACACGAACAGTCAGAGTCTCAGGCATAGAAAAAGATTAAGGCAACTAGGGCAAGGTGGAAATGATGATCATATTTCTCAGGTAGGCCCTGATGGAGTCAAATTTGTGCCATCTCAAAATATGCGCAACTAGTATACTGGATATCCCAGCCCAAATCACTTGAGAAATGACAGCTTCTCAAAGGGCCATTTGACCTGTGTTTTCCTATCAGCCATGTGGTACCTTCTGGAAGAGAGGTCCTTCCCATACAAGGCTGGAAAACAGGGGCTGCAGTGAATCTGAAAAAGAATTCTAAGGTGACACTTTTTCCACTAGCTTTTACATTCTGCCCCTCCTATCTTTTAGTTCTATCTGTAGAGTTTACTATCCTAGTCCATGGACCCCTCTTCTATCCTTTATAGATCTATTCTTTGTCTAAAAAATACAAAAGCTTCTTGCTTTGGTCTTTTGTTCAGACCTCATTCCTTTGTGAAATTCCCATGTACGTATAAAATCAGTAAGACTTTTATGCTTTTCTCATGTTAATCAGCTCTTATATTACTTGGGTTCTTAGATCTGGCCAAACAGCTTACATAAGAATTTAGGGGTGTAGCGAGTACCTGCTTCTTCCTTCTAGCCCTAATTAGTCCTGCCAAAAGAATTTGAAACTGCATGAGATAAAGGTGGGACTCACAGCTTGAGAGGGGCCACCCTGAGTCAACTTTTGGGAGACACATTAACTGAGCAGCAGAACAGGAGGAAAAGGGATTCAGAGGAAGGTACTGGGCTCCTGGCTTCCCCTGGTAGGAAGTGGCTAGAGATGGGTGGATGGAAGGACTTCCTTTACTATAATCAGCTGCCAGGCAGACCACTATTTATCAACAAATGACAAGACAAAGTATATAGAGCTTTTCTTCGAAGGGCTGTGCTTGCTCCAATGCCAATGACACACTACACACTGGAGAGTTCTTCTGGGCTGACACAGATGGCTAGACTTGGTACCCTGAGGGGAAGCATTCTTTTATAACAGGCTGTCTTCTCAAGGCCATCTCTGTGTGGGTGTGACACAGTCACTCTGTACATGCATCATAGAAGTTCTTGTGAAATTCAACATATCTCTGTCCCTTTATGGATTTAACAAGTGTCTTCTGAATGTCAACTGAATCACAAAGCAGTGTGGATGGGTAGGCAGTATAAAGATACTGCTGGTTTTACAAATCCTCTGCCTCCTGCTGCCCTCTCTTTGGGCTCTCTCTGCCTAACTAGAAACCACAGAAAGGAAAGAACACCGAGCAGAAGTCATGGAGGCCCAGACAAGCTCCAGGGTCAAGCATATTATGGTAGGACTTGGTGACACCAGGGCGTGTGTCATTTCAACCCAGAGACACCAGGTATGAGTCTCCAGATGGGCTGGTCATGAGTCAGGAGTGGCACTGCCTTATCTGTGCCAGTCCTTAGTCAGATGCTGGAGGTGGTGGTGGTGAAGAGGCAGACAGGCAGATAGACAGACAGACAGGTAGGCAAAAATAGAATTTTCTGCATATTTTTACATTTTAGATTTTTCTCTCAGACACTAATCTTGAAGTCGATTCAGAATTTGCCTAATTATTAGGTTTTCAAAGAGGTAAGAAGAGATCCTGCCACATCCAATTAATGGATTCCTGTACAGTCTGGATGTTTAGATGCCCCTGTATTGATAGGTCAAAACCTAGTCATGGAGGGGGTAGTATTAAGGGTGGGATCTTTGGGAGGAGAACATGTCACAAGGAGACCTGCTCTTTCTCCTCTGCCTCACCACACTGAATCTGCTGGGCACCTTCACCTTGAGCTCCCCAGTCTCCAGAACTGTGAGAAATAAGTTCCATGGTTTACATGTTGCCCAGGGTAGGTATTTTGTTATTTCGGCCTGAGTTGAATGAGCCAGACCCCTTCTTTAGTTCCAATTTATTCTTAGTTTTTGCAAATTACTAAACAAGAAACAGTTTAAGAATTGAATTTTTTTCCCTACTTTCTAGTTATGTATATCTTCCAGTACCATTATTGGAGAAAAATGCTATATTTCTTTGAAAAACTACCAAGCAGAAACCAAAGTAATATGTAGACTTAATTAGAAATATAAATACACAGTATGGGCATCTTATAATGCTACATAAAGTCAAACATTCCAGAAATTCAGAGAGATTTAACATACAACAGGTTCCTATGAAACTAGTGTGCATTTATTATGCTTTACAATAGAAGGCGTGATAATAAAAATGTATATAAAGGCTTTAATAGAAAACTACCAGTGAGTTATAGATGAAAATACTAATAACATTTTCTAGAAATGTCGATTACTTTGCATTTTGAAGTGGTCTTTTCAAACATGGAAATGGGAAAACATATGTATAGCCAAAGATATTCATTCCTTGTGAGAACTATAAATATTAATATGGATGCAAAAAAAAAAAAAAAACCAATGAGATTTTGGAGAAAACAGAGCCGAATGGACAGTGAGTCTGCTCTCCTCACAGAATTAAGGTGCCACACACACCACCCACTTTTTAGTATCTGTTAATGTCATTGTCAGACTGACCCCTGCCTGGTGATCTGTGAAGCGTAATAAATATATTGCTACAGGCCCACAAAATTATTCAGGTGTAGCGGGAAAGTCACTTCAATATTAATCAGGCCCGTTATTCATACTTTGCATTTTGTCCTTTGATGGTAGATATGACCCAGGGCGGTCCCTGCAATCTGAAGCTGTGAGCTCCAGGAGCAATGTGGTTATTGGCTGTACTGTAACATGTCTTTCCCCAGGCATTTGACTTCCATATCGAGGGAAGGCTTCTGGCTTGCTCCAGATGCTGGAATAATCATTCTTCACAGGTTTTAGTTGGTGGCCACCATATCACAAGCAGACTACTTCCCACAGGCTCCCTTCCCCCAAGAATTTAATACAAAGCGTATCACAGGTTTGCACAGTGAAGGATCAGCCTCTGTCTTTGTTATGGAAGACAAACATACACTAATTAAAGCCTTTTGCAACATTAAGGAACTTCAACTCCAAGTTCTTTCTGTGCTTCAGCTTTTTTTTGTATTTAAGGTTTGTGTGTTTTCTTTTTTTTTGTCTTTTTCATTTTTATTGGTACCAGGGATTGAACTCACAACTGCCTGCTTATGCCGCTGAGCTAAATCCCAAGCCCCTTTTGTATTTAAGGTTACACTTAGAATCCTCCCTAATATAGACTGTGTCTGAAAAATCTTGCTTTGTTCTTTGGACTAGAAGATGTTTTTCTAGCATCTGGTTTTCAGGTGGACTTCAGCTGTACGTGAAGACAGTAGGAGAAACAACCAGTAGTGACAGGACAGAGCCAGATGCCTCAGTCATCTAGGGAGGACAATGGGTGGCAGTGTCAACTGACCTGACCTCTGGACAAACCAGAAAAAGTGTAGACCATGTATAAACAGTGACAAGTCTGCAGGAAGGGGAACATTTGCATCCAGTGGGTATTAGTGTGAAGAGATGTTTCACACAATCAGCAGTCCTGTAGAATCAAAAAACACAGGAGCCAGAGAGTGTACATTTGGGGCCAGAAGATCTCTTCCCTAATTCCAAGCTCTAGGCTAGCTGTGTTTCTAGCATAGAGCTCTGTTCCACTAAGGAGAGCAGAATCTGAACTCCCAGGATGAGAGAAAATCATGTGCTCCAAAAACACATCTGAAGCCACCACAAGAATGTCCCAAGGGTATGTAAGAATGTAGTTTTGAAAAACCTAAAACAGTGTTGTCAGTAGGTCAGAAGAATTTATTTGAAGACTTTTCAAGTCTCCTGTGAAACCTGGGAAATGGGTGATTATGGTTATCACTTAGATCATGAGTCCAACAACAACAGTGTCCCAAAGATGAATACCATGACCATGGAAATCCATTTCTTATTTTTTATATAATTAAAACATACATGTTATGGCAGCATTATTCACAATAGCAGAAAGGTAGAAGCAACTCAAATGTTCATCACCAGACAGATGGGCAAATAAAATGTGGTCCGTACATAAACAGTATTCAGCCCTACAAAGGAATGTAGTTCTGATATATGATACAACATAGATGGACTCTAAAGACATTACACTAAATTAAATTAGCCAGACACCAAAGGAAAGATATTACATGACTCCATTTAGACTAGACTGAGAAAACGCATAGAGATAGAGGAGGAAAAATGAGGAGCAGTTGCTTAAGGGAAACAGGGCTCCAGTTTTGAAAGATGAAAATGTCCTGTATATGGAGAGTGTTGAAGAATGCACTGCAGGGGCTGGAGATTTAGCTCAGCGGCATAAGCGCCTGCCCTGCAAGCAGGCAGTCGTGAGTTCGATCCCTGGTACCGATAAAAAGAAAAAAGACAAAAAAAAAAAAAAAAAGAATGCACTGCATTGTGAATGTGCTTATGCTGCTAAACTGTACACCTAAACATGGTTCAAAAGGTAAATCTGGGCTGGGGATTTAGCTCAGTGGCTTAAGTGCCTGCCTGACAAGCGCAAGGTCATGAGTTCAATCCCTAGTACAAAAAAAAAAAAAAAAAAAAGGTAAATCTGATGACGATGATATTCTAACACAGTTAAAAAATACACATGTCTCTGAAAGAGAGTTCTCTTCAGGAAAAATCACACAGGAAATTCATACACAATTAAGAAAATATTCTTGGCCCCTCTCTGGCACCTGAAAAATCACAGAGGTGGTAGAGTGCAGGCAGACTTTGCCATGCAACCACCAAGTTGGTTCAAATTAAGCAGTCCAGACTTACCCGAAGGAAGGTGGGGAATCCTTGTCCGTAGTAGCCAACAGCAAAATAGTCAGGCTTAGGTCTTATTACTTTGACGATGTTTTCATAAAATTGAGCCTGTTTTTTCTGGAAGGAAAAAAGAAAACACATTTCAGGTTCAACCAGAGTATCTGAACAACTGTCTTTCTATATTTTTCCTATGGGCTCTCTAAGCTTTGGTACCCTCATAAGGTACGAAGAAGCCCTCCCCACCCCAGGCCTATACCTGAATTCAGTATTTACTGATAGTGTCAGAAACCCTTCACCATTCAGCAGGAGATTAGAATAAACAAGGCAAATGTAGCAACTGGTTGTGACTCATGGGCATCTTCAATAACCAACAAAGGAGCATGCAGATGGTTTCTCTTCTGATTAAACTACTGGCCCTTCGTGTTTTTTCAGTGGTATGAATAAAATACAGGGAAACTTAAAAAGACAGAATTATTTTGCTTCAAATTAATGACAAACATTGCATCATCACAAATGTAACCTGCTGAATTAAAAAACAAAACAAAACAAAGCAAAACAAAAAAAACCAAGTGACACAGCATAGCCTAAAAGGCAATAATCAGGCACTTTCAGAGACAAAAGTCTGGCTACGATCTGTTCACCCCATCTTGGAGAAAGGGTCACAATGTTAAATTATACAAACACTCAAAAGTTCCTGTGTTATCAAGCCCACTAGACACAGATCACCAGTAATTATTTATGTATCATTCAGTCACAGAAGTCTTTAACCTGAGAATAAAAAGTGGATACTCATGGGGCCAGAATCAACCAGCAGATATACGAAGACCATATTCTTGGACAGTACAGAGGACCAAGCCAGAACCAGAGAATACCTGGGGTGAATTCCAGTGAGAAAATGGTACCAGAAATATCTTAGACTGTTCATTTAAATAGGTGGAGGAAGGGGAGGAGGAACTAAAAAAAAAAAAAAAAAAAAAGAAAACCTACCAGCAATTCACTGAGTTGTTCATAATCAAACATTTCGTTTTCATACTGTTCTGCAAGTTCCTTGCCCAAGGCAATGGCCTCCTCCCACATCTGTGAATTACAAGCAAGAAAAAAAGAGATTCAAACCTAAATCTGGCAGTCAGAGTAAAGCAATCATTCATAATAAAACAATTTAAAAACATGTCAGGTTAATTGAAAGAGCAGGGAAATGATGTTGGAAAAATACAAGTATTTTCTAGAGGGCCCCGTGCTTTGCCTCAGGACCTGGTCCACTGAGTAAGCTGGTCAACTATTGGCTCACGTATCACCTGGCTTCAGCCTGCAGCATAGTGCTCTGCCAGCTCGTCCTTGCCAACCCTGTCCTGGCTCCTCTGATGACAGCTGTATTTGCCATGGCAAAACTGTTGGGGAAGCTGGTGGGTCAAGGAAAAGAAACTGCAGGCTAAAAAAGCGAAGCAGAGGGGGCATTTAAGTGGGAACCAACATTCCGAGTTGGTTACTTTCTCAAATCATTCTACTTAATAAACACCATGCCCAAAGCACCAGCTGCAAAAAACCAAGGTGTATTTCAGTCCCAAACTAAAGCTTGCAAAAAGCTTGCCTTATATGTGCAAGTGCTGGGCAAATGTAAATTGTGCCATCATTTTGAGAAAGGGGAACCCCATGATGTAAATAATTTGAGGGTGCCTTTCCATGCAACTTATTTTTTAAAATGTAAACTTTTGACACATATATAATGACCTGTTCATATACTGTAGGTCTCTTACTTTTTTCTTGGGAGAAACAAAATGAATTGGATTACTTGAGGAGAACAGGAAAATTCAGAGAATCTGGATCTTCTAGGAAGACTTCTTGGTTGCTCTCTAGTCTCCTCCTCTGTTGCACTTTCACACTGACCTGAGAACTCAAAATCTTCTGCAATGTTTTGACACAGAAACTAGAAGCTCCTGGAGGACAGGGGCCAAACTTCGTCCCCTCAGGAACCCCTGGACAAGCTTGCCTAGCAAGGCTTAGTAAAATGAAGTGAGGGTTGTTGACTTGAAAGTATCCCATGTACTGTGTTCCCAACCACGAACCCCCACTTCTCCACTGCCATCATCCCCACAAGACAGCTGCAGTCACAGTTATGCAGCTTTGACTCCCTTCTTACAGGGATGCTAAAGACCTCGCCCGGACATCCCTATCTCCAGGAGGGCAGCAGCTATTACCATGGGAGTTTATGGCTTTTAGGTCTTCCCCGCTGGCATAATATCCAGCCACTTGCACTTCCTTCTTGTTCTTGTTGAAGCCCTTAAGCCACCATGTCATATGGTTATCTTTCTTATGCCCATGTTGCAGATAAGACAGCTCAAGGTCAAGCAGGTAAATAGTATGTCTGAGGACACACAGCAGAAAAGTGGCTGTCTGCCAAAGTCTGTGCTCTTGAGGATAATGTTCCAGCACTTCCAGCTGCTCCCTACTCTCTGCTGCTGGGGGAGGCTTTATTTTATTTTTTAAAATTGTTTCTTTTTTGGGGGAGGGTACTAGGAATTGAACTCATGACTGCACGCTTGCAAGGCAAGCGCTTATGCCACTGGGCTAAATCCCCAGTCCTTGGGGTAGGTTTTAAAAGATACCTGTCTGGTTTCTAACTCACAATCCTATGCCCTATATAGGCTATAGTGGGGCGGGGTGGGGGGGGACCTGGCACACCCTGGCATGGAGCTAATATGTGGTCCTCTTTGCCTTGTTACAATGGGCCCTGCCAGGGCCTGACTGATTACTAAGTTATCCAATGAACTGAAGAATGTTATTTTACTTAAATGCTTCAACAATACACCTTTCATAGCTACTGCTTAAAAGAAACTATCAGCTATTTTGAATGAGAAAAAAGTTATTTTAGGGTAAGAGTTGCATTTTAATACTTTGAAAAATAGTAAAAACAAGCTTGGAGTAGATTTCAGAGATGGGACGGGTATCCAGGGAGCAGAGATGATGGTGGACATGTCCTGCCCAAGGTTCACACACTGTCTTTTTCTCTTTGGTTTATGTTGCCTCACATTTTTTGAATAGCTACACCTGATTCTCTAAATCTTTTTTATCTCCTACAAGAGAGCCCAAGCTCCCATTCCCAGGAAGGGAAAACTCCTCTCACTTTTAATGTTTCTTTTAAGCTCCAGTGACCCATGCCTCCCTTAGCATATTTCCATTTCAAAGACATTACCTTTTCTTGTAAGTCTCCTTCACTGGATTTTTCTCTAGTTTTCTGCAAGCTAATACACACTCTTTTAGCCGCCTAAACCAGTAGGGCTTCTAATTCATTCCAAAGTAAAAGCTTAATCTATCTTTATCCTAAATGACAGATGAGGTACTATCTGTATCAAAAGTAATTGTTTTTAACAGAATTATAAATCTTGAGTAAATATCTTATCCCATTCACCCTGAGGTTATGTGGCTGCATTTTCTACCAGATTTTCTATAAATATATATTTCTCCTCTCCCTTTTACGTGTGTTAAAGGATTTTGCACCAAGGAGATTTTCATCTACTTTTAATTGGACAGGGCTCTAAAGACAGTGTGAGTAATGTGAATACTTCAGAAAATATTTCAGCACCAGAGAGAAATCAGATTCAATATGATCTAGATTTAGATTATCTTTGTGAAAGGATCGCTTTACTGTGAGTGAACACCCTGTTGGCTCCATTCTAAGAGAGCCAGGGGCTCAGGAGGTTTCTGTAGCCCCCAGAGAAAAGCTCATTATCCGCAAACAACTTTATTTTCTGATCTTAAGTACTTAATCCAGTTTATGGCATTCTGGAATTGTTAGTTCTGGCTACACAGAGCACACCGTCCCTCTGTGGCTTTTCGGCAGATGATGACTGGTTCCATTTTCTCGAGATGATAATCCTTCCCATCTTTTTTGAACCTCCTACATTCAACACCTTCCACTTTGTCAAGTCCCATGAACAGAGTGGTGGCAGAGGACATCGCAGATACTGACTTTTTACAGATGACCATGGACTTGGTTGATAGAATGACAATGCTGATCTTGCAGGATGGAGGCACAGCAGCAGATGAAGAAGGGACAGACGCCAGCTGGGACGATGATCCCTCACCACTGATGCAGGTTGGCTGACTCACCAGGACACCAGTGAGTGACGCTGCTGTCGTCTGCTTACCAACTGTGAGTATCTCACCAGGGACAGTGCTTTCTGGGGAGCTTGAATTTCAGTGATTCCTCTCTAATTCATATGTTTCTCTTGGCAGTCATTGGTGCAAGAGTCATACTCATTCACCCACCGATTTTCCAAAGATTTGTACAGCTCTCTGAGTGTAAGTGGATTAGGATACATGCTATGGAAGAATCCAGAGCTCCTGTCGAGGTCCCTCAGCACCAGAAAGAGCAAAGTGGCCCAAGACCAGCAGCAGACCTGTTCAATCACCTCAGGACAATGAGTGCTGAGAATGAGTACCACCATTCCAGTTCCCAGGTCCCAAGTGTGGCATAAGAAAGACCACAGCAATCCCAGGCTATGACCCAGCTGATAGAGGACCAGTTCAACTCATAGTTGCCGGTAACCTCTCCTACAAAATGGGGACTCCTTGACCACACAAAGGTTGGCCAGCCTTTCTGAAAAGGTCTTTGAAATGGCTCAGAGACTCACTGACTCAAATGCCTGCATTGTGATGACATACTCAAGAAAGCCCATTCCACACAGTAACAATTGCCACCCTAACTCAGGTTCATTAATATGACTTTTGTTTTCTTTTTTCCACCACAATTCTTTATCAGCCAACAGAAAATTATTTGCTCAGTTTTTAATGCCTTGGAAGGAAGAACAAGGAAGCCTTTCTTTTATTGGAGATTTTGTATTTTTCTCTCCAGGTAAGGACAGGTATAGTTCTACAGACAGGATGTAGAATAAAGGGTTATGGCTGCCTCTTGCTCAGTGCTTAGGTCAGAAGGAGAATAGATGTTGCTGTCACTCTCTCCTCCATCCCATTGATGATTGCAGATAGAGACACAGGCAGCTGCTGAAGAAGGAAGTTGGAATAACACAGATTTTTCTTAAAGATAGGAGAAATAATACCATGCTCACTGGTGAGTGAATGTTAACCATAAAAAGCAAATGCTGATGGTGTAGTAGGACAGAAAGGGAATGTGGGGTGTGATCCTGCCATGGGGAGTCTTGGAATGGGAGGGAGGACCTGTCTTGGATGAGTGATGGAGAACTCAACCCAAAGGCAGAAGGGAAACAGGATATGCAGGGTAGAGGTGAGCAGAGGGATGAAGGCATTGTGGGGGTGTATAGCGGGCAAAGCTGGCTCACAAAGCCTGGGCCACAGCTGACTGATAGTTACTTTTAAAAAGAACAGACAGACCAATAAGCTTTCTTCTAATCCCCTAGTTGTTGTGAAAATTTATCTTCTCTTTCACATTTGGGCAGCTCCAAGTCTTAAAGTCTGTTCACGTGTGTTGCTCATACTTTCTTTCCATCATCGAGAAAAGTCACCATCTCCCCTGGACTCAGCTCCTTACTCGGCTCTGCCCTTGGTGACTCCCATGCCATTACTGGCCCCAGTTGCCTGCCTGTGCTCTTCCCATTTTTTTTTTTTTTAAATGTCTGCTGCTTCCAACCTCTCTAAACTCAGTTCTTAGAGTTTGTTGATATGTGTTAGTTTGCTCAAATTTCCATACAAAAGGCCACAGAGTAGGTGGCTGAAAACAAAGTGAGTACTTTCAAAGCCTGAACCAAGGTGTCAGCAGGGACATACTCTTTCTGAAGGCTCTGGAAAAGCCTCCTACTTGCCTCTTTCAGCTTCTGGTGGCTCCAGGTATTCCCTTGCTTATGGCAGCATCCCTCCAATCTCTGTTTCACCTGGGCATCTCCATGTGTCATCCCCCCTGTGTCTTGTAAGGGGGCACTTGACATTAGATTTAGGGTACCTCCTCTCAAGGAGTTAAGATCATCTCTTAAAGATCCTTAATTATTCCTGTGAAGACTTTCTCCAAATACTGTCACATTCATCTTCCATGAATTACTATGTATCTTTTCATGGGGAGTCACCAACATACCAAATGTATTAAGGAAATTCTCTTAGAGGTCTCG